CATTTCAATTTTGTATTTTTATTGACAATAAGTTAACAATGTTTACTTTTAGTTGTGTGTTGTTGGTCTATTTTTAAACAATCACAACAACCGCCTAACCAGACCAAAAATACCCAGCGTTTTCCCGACTGCTTCGATTTTCCTACATTTCCCCGCGTTGCTTTCCTTTTGTTTACAAGTAGTTTTTGTTTTTTAATTTTGTTTCATCAATTTAATGAAAAATGAGAAATATGTACAATTCAGCGTACAGAGCAACGAGAGAAAAGCAAAGAGAGAGAGAGAGTGGGAGAGTCTCACTTTGTCTGCGCCTGCTCATGGGACCCTTGGGGGCTGGTCTGGGAAAAGGATGTAGGTCTGGGTTTCGTGCTCGGACTCGGACTTGGTCTTGGGTTCGGCTTTGGGCTTTGGGATACGGATTGGGATTGGGTTTGGTTCGGGTTCCGTTTCGGGTTCGCCCTTGCCCTCGCCGTCGGCTCAACATCAAAAACATTTCGCCATTTGTCTCTGGGCCTTATGAACATTTTATAATTTCCTTGTACTTTTTACTTTTGCTCGTGAGTCTGTCGCTACGCTTAAGTAGAGGCTTATGTATCCGCCCACTAAGAGCCCAATTGAAGGTGTCTCCTCGAGTAAGGTGTCTATTTGGCAAGCATTTCAAAGGAACTCATTTTGGCTTAGTTGCGCCTTTCCTCGATGGAAATTAATTCGGTTTTATACACGATTTATTTTCAATCGCCAGAGCTCTATAAATATCTATGCTGCAATATTGATCAGTCTATCTGTCTATAGCAGTGCATTTTGGGTCAACAGATTAATGATTGCCTCCGAGGAATCGAATTATGTTTAATTTATTCTATATAGGCATCAAATTAATATGGAAATTTTAGCTAATAAGCATCCAAAAAGTATTATTTTAATGCATTCTTACGAATGGAAGTTGATTATATTTAATCTTAAGATATCTCAATATCTTTCAGATTATTTCAGCAAATAAAATAATTTATATTTTAATTAAATCGTGAGAAATACTTTATTGACTGTAAATCCGTAAATCCGCACACAAACTTTTATTAAATGCATATAATTATTCGGCCAAATGATGCATGGCCAATTAAAACCATCTTAATCTGGAAACGAAATATAATTAATTCAGCAATATCTGTTTGCTTTGGCAAGAGAAATATTGACAAGATTTTCGGAACGATTCGCATATTCATTTTGTAGCGCAGCCACACACTGCGTATGCTTATTATTAATTTAAAGCATAGCCCATACGTCATGTCGTGCCAGAGGACAAAACAAGAAAAGGCCGAATGTGTCGACAACAATTCGATTACAAGTTGATTTATTATTTAAATTGCGTGTACGGAGAGAAACGAATATTGGCAACAACAGGGAAACAGGATTGCTGTGGAGCAGCTAGGGTTGCTGGAAATTGAGGAGCTCAATGGCAAGTGCACTTCGAAAAACACGTACATACAACCGAAATTGGATACAGTAGTAAAAATGCTAAGCACTTAAAGCTTCTTTTAAGTCTGTTCAATCTTGTTATGGGAATTTGAGATCAGAATGGTTGAGAAATATATTGGAAAGGTATTCATTACCAACGTTCATCTCAAACACCTTATCAAATGAACAACTAAAAAGCTTGTTTAAAACATTTCTAACATATTTTATACTACGTATTCAAATATTTTATAGCTAAGTTTCGCTTTTCTAATCATTTTTTGAGAGTCCAATTTCATGGCTTACATAATAAAGAGATGTTCGTCAGAGGGATGTTGAGAACATCTCTAGCTGGAGAGTTTCATTTCGCTATTAGAATTAATTGCAAAACTCATAAAAAACTTTATAGAGTCATGCTTATCAGTTGGCCAACATCGTCAGCTGGAACGGTTGCAATCTACCGAATCCGCCAGCCCCAAAAAACTTTTGTCCTGATGGCCCTGACAAGCAGCAAATCAGGAGTGCCTTAGGGGGTTGCGGCAATGTGGGGGCTTCCAGTGGACGTGCAAGTGACCCAGAGAGCCAAATCCTAGGCCACATCGAGTGGGTGGTTCGGGTGGGTTTAGCGTTGGGCTTAGCGGTGGGTTGGTGGATAAGGCCAATGGCGTAATTTATGTAGGCTCGCTAAGCCTTTCCATGCGTAAAATGTGATTATATCTGCGTATAAATACGCATACAATTGTGACCACGTACGGGATGGAGTACTATATAGTATGGGTGTGCTTATTGGGGTGTGCAAGGTATATTGTGTGGGAGATAGCCATCGAAAATGAGAACGAAAACTTTTAAATCAGCAAGTTATCCTTTTAGGATAATAAGTTTGTATTTCATTGATTAACAGTAATAACCCTTCTAAATAATATAATTCTTCTTTAATATTCCGCAATCTTGAAAGAACGAAATCACCAAGAGTATTGGCTCTTGGCAAGGAAAATGGATTAAGTAGCTATAAATCAAGATGAAACGATAAAATGACCGCATTGAGGTGCCCACGTGCATTAGGCCATAATGGAATTGTCATTCTTATCCAATGATAACAGAACAACAACAACAACTACTGCTGTCTGCAGCTGCTGCGGCTGCGCTGCTTCAGCGCTGCTTCTGCTGCATTAAACGCGTCATCACAGCAGCTCACACACACGCACACCCAGAGACAAAGCCCGCGTGTGTGTGTGCATCGCTGATGCTGTGTTAGTGCGGCTTTGTTGTTGCGCCAAAAACCAAGCCAAGGATTTTTCGCACATTTACGCCAGCAAATGGACTGCAGCTGTGGCACTGAGCAAAAGGATAATGCCATTGCTGAGAGATCAGGTATTATGCCAAATTTAAATTATTCTTATCTGCAAAAGATATCTATGGAAAATCGAGCAAGCAGTCTCGAAGCGGTATTAAGCGGTATTATTAAGAGTTATATGTACATATTAATAAAGTTAATAACTAAACATCAAATATTGGTAGGTTTTCAGAATTTGAAATATATAATATATATACTTTCCAAAATCGAATTCTTAATTCGAATGTCTAACGAATATTTTATGCAAATAGATTAAAAATGAACTTAAAATACATTCTATAAGTCCAGAAACTTTTAAGTTAAATATGTCATCTCCGGAATTTTTTGCAGTGTCCTGTTGCTCCCTGCTGCCTCTTTCTCTCTTTCTCTCCTACAGACGACCTTCACTTTCATACGGCCGACCGTTATATATTTTGTTTGCTCAACGCTTTTAAGCATGTTATGTTGTTTTTTATTTTAGTTGGCCTGCTGCTGGATAAGTTAATATCATGAGTGGGATGGCGAGGGGACTGAGTGGGGTGCTGTTTTAAATAGGCCAACTAACCAAGAACAACTACTTGTTGTTGGGTTGCATGCACGCCATGAGGGGCAATTAAAAAACGTTTTTTTAAATGGCTTAACCACTTTGCAAGGACATGGACGGTTAAAACTGGATGTGAATTTCCCAACATTTTTTTCCTAGTTTTTCTCTGTTATTTTTTACGACTGCTGTTGTTGTTGCAGAGAGTACGACCGCAACAACAAAAGCAACAACAAAAACATTCGCGGATACACACATTTTCACAAATCAAAAAAGCAAACGAATATTGCCACACACACATATACACAGAGAAACACACTCCCACACACAGAGGCACACACACACATGGACAAGAGAGACAGACAGGAAAAATCTCTCTTTTTTTATGGATTTTCTGGGCAGGCAAGCAATCTGCTTTGGCTGATGTTTGATTAAACAATTGCTTCATGGGTTTTTAATACTCCTGTTGACTTTCTCCCACTTTCTCCACCGCATTTAGCTAGCAAGTCAGCGAAATTGTTTACACATACATACGCACGCCTTTCGGTTTATTACATTTTACACTTGTCGCCTCTTACACTTTTCCCACCTCCTCCGCCTCCTTTCGTTAGCCGCACATTTTTCCGCACTATTTCGTGTACATTTTTTCCTCTTTCGTTTCGGGAAATTCTCTTTTGGCCTTTCCTTTTTGGAAAAATTATAACTTTCAATATATTCTTGGCCTTTCCTGCACGCACGGTGGCCACAAAAAACTTGGCCCAAACTGCGTCCCGCTATTTGTTCCGCTCAGCTTTTTCTAGGGGGCGTTCAGACAAACAGTTCTCGACAAACTGAAAGTGAAAAGTAAAAGGCAAAAAGCGCCAGCGCCTCCGACCGATGGTTGTATCATCCGAATCCGAACAAGAATCCGGGACAGCACCGAAATACTCACGGAGTCGGCGCACTTTGAAGAGCAAGTGGTGGCCACTGAAAAGCGACACACAATCGGAACAGATGTTAAAGTTGCCTTTCGAATTAGTTATGATAAAATATTTATCTGTAATACAGATATCACAAAATTCCCATCAAGGGCATGCCTCTTTTTCAAATGAACTTGTCTAAAAATGTGACTTTTCCTATTCGCAAAACAATTTGTAATCTATTTAATTAGGTCATTAGAAAATGTCTCGATCGATCTTTGGACAGCTTCCGGAATCTAAAATTTTCATTTCTCTATTTTTATATTAGAAACTTGATTTTTCTTTAAATTTTGAATAACTTCTTCTCCAATGTTAAAATATTCTTTTTATTATCTCGTTTATCTTAGATATTCTTTGTGTCTGAATGTCAAAAATATGAAAATAATTTTGTGTTCTTACAAATTTGATAGTTTTTTAAATAGACAAATAAAAACATGAGAAATAATCAATCGTTTCATTCACATTAAAATGGCTCGCATTTATCAATACATTTTGATCTACTTAAGAAGAAAATAAATAAGAACATGTATAAAAAACAACAATAAATTAGGTAGTTTGCACAAAAATAAATTCCCTAAACTAAGTTATAATAAAAAAAAACACTTTAAAACCCGTCACAAAGGTATGAATGATAAATCGGGTAACATCGATGCATAGTAAAATATTTTAGAAAAACCTAATATAATTCAGATTAATTATTTAAAATATATTGGCAGTGAGATACATTTCTCATAAATATTTATTAATTTTCGTAATACAACTAACTTTGAGTTTGCAAATATCACTGATAATCTATCAAGGACATGTTCACGGCGATGTTTTTATTAAATCAAATCGTAACTAAAAGGTTTGACCTGTTTCCGTTTTAATTTTAAATAAAGTGAAAAAGTTCGCCGTTTTAAACCATTTTATAAGAAAATTGTTGAACACAAAATAGAAAACTTTTAAAAAATCTATAATAGTATAACAATGCAAGTAAGAAAGTATATAAAAACTCAATTAATATTCATTACCTAGTCTCAACAACTTTAAGCTTTAACTTTAACTTTCAAACTTTAAGACAAATAAGCATTAGATGTTAAAACGGAAACTTGGCCAATTGTAATGTTTCTAGGCGAAGGGGGTGACTTTGGTGAATGTTCCTATTTGGCAGACGGAGCAGATCCTTCGCTCTGATGGGGATCATTAAACTGCTTGTGCCATTCCAAATTCATCTTGGTAACGGATTCTCCTCGCTTGGCGGCCTGTTTGCCGCTGTACACCATTATAGCACAACCGACAGCGGTGAGAGCGATCATTATATTGGCCAGACGGATCCGAATTTTGTTGCGACAGCGCTCCATGACATCCTGACTACATATACAGATAGTAAATATCAGAGACCTGTTGCGTTCTCAACTCAAATTGCCACTCACCTAACAAAATTGGGAACTTCGGCCTGGGACTTGTATTTACCGGTCCAGACCAACATACGTCGCTCGAGGTTGTTCGGCTCGTGGTTTTTGATCGTTTCCCGCATAACCTGACTGGTTCCAAAGGACCTTCTTATCATGGTTGCAATTAATGCAGTTTTGCTTGTCATTTTGGTTTATTTAAACGTTTAAACTATCAATCTGTCGACAGAATCAGGGATTTTATGCAACTCGATTATCAGTGACTATAAACATAACAGAGTCTATCGATGTATATATCGATTATTTTATGCGCCTATTGCAAATGTCTACACATAAAAATTCTTCTCCCATAACTGAACCTAACATAGATTAAGATGGAAAGCAACAGACAGTTTCAGCATAAAAGCCTGAAACAAAAATGATGTTTGTACTTTTGCGGAACGAAACGGAAATGAAACGTTAGCGATGCAATGTGACCGCGACAATGGTATGGTACACCGACCGAGCAACGGTCACTCTGCTCCCCCCTTTAAGTTTTTTTGCGGTGGAGTAAAAGTCGGAAAAGTCAATTAATACCCGACTGCCACACGTTTAGAAACCGATTTTGAGATCAAGGTCAAGATGAGCGAGTACACGACAATTCTCCAGCGCGAATTCCCCAAAATTGACCACGAACTCCTCACCTATGTTGTAGGCGTACTCACCGGAAGTAAGTGGCCTCTGGGGTCTTATTCTCAGCTGCTGATATTTTATACTTAACCCTGTATTCGCATTCCCAGGTGAGGAGGACTTCGACAGCGGCGACGACATCTTCGATGCGGTGGGCGACATTCTGCAGAGCGTCGACTGCGACAGGTCGGAGGAGAGCGTAAGGGAACTATGCGAGCAGTTCCTCAACATCATGAAGAACAACGGGGTCAACGTGGAGCGCAAGGTGCTTAATGCGCCGGTAAACATAGAGGAGATGGCCAAGAACATGGAGCGCCTCGACAAGGACATGCAGAGCATCTGGGTGGTGAATAAGGATGGCGCAAATGTAAGTAGACAAGCCCCATCACAGAATTATTTAGTGGTCTACTCGCACATCCACTATAATTATTATTATTTATATACTGTATGCTAGTTTAAATATAATTTCTGTAGACATTCATACAGACCGCTTATTTTTCGGCGGGCTTCTTAAGAATTAATTTACTGACCGATATCAACTTTATTATGCTTCTAGAAAGTAGACTCCAAGAAGCTGGGGAAGGCGGAGGCGAAACTGCAACAGAAGCAAGAGAAGCGGCAGGAGGTAAACAAACATGGAATGATTCCCGTAGCCGTGAAGCTTCAAACTGCCACAGCTTCTCAAGTAACAAACAAGAAAAATACAAAGTTGGACCAGAAAGGACTTAACCGCTCGATGGACATAAAGATCGAAAACTTTGACTTGGCCTTTGGCGAAAAGTAAGGCAATTATAACTGAGAAATTGACCAACCGTAAAATGTTTTATTCCTTTCTAGAGTTCTTCTGCAGAATGCGAATCTTCTGTTGTCTTTCGGTCGCCGGTATGGTCTGGTTGGTCGCAATGGGCTGGGCAAGACTACTCTCCTCCGGATGATTGCCGAACGGCAGCTGCAGATTCCCTCGCACATCTCGGTGCTGCATGTGGAGCAAGAAGTGGTTGGTGATGACACACCGGCCGTAGAGAGCGTGCTGGAGTGTGATACGGAGCGAACGAGGCTACTGACCCGGGAGAAGGAGATCCTAGCTGCGCTGAATAATGGCGTTCAGGATGCTGCGCTGTCTAACGAGCTGAGCGAAACCTATGCTGCTCTGCAGAATATCGAGGCGGATAAGGCCGTGGCTCGTGCATCTGTGATACTTAAAGGCTTGGGCTTTGACGCAGACATGCAACTGCGCCCGACCAAATCCTTCTCAGGCGGTTGGCGAATGCGCTTGGCTTTGGCCAGGGCACTTTTCTCAAAGCCCGATCTGCTTCTGCTCGATGAACCGACGAACATGTTGGACATCAAAGCTATTATTTGGCTGGAGAACTATCTGCAGACGTGGCCTACCACCATTCTCGTCGTTTCCCACGATCGCAACTTCCTTGACGTAGTACCAACGGACATTATTCATCTACATTCCCAGGAGCTGGAGGCATACAAGTAATTGAGTCCTTGATTAACCTTAAAATCATTTTATAATATAATTATTTTCAAGGGGAAACTATGAGCAGTTTGAAAAGACAAAAACGGAAAAGCTGAAGTCCCAGAGGCGGGAGTATGAGGCTCAGATGGCTCATAGAGCACATGTCCAGGACTTCATTGACCGTTTCCGATACAACGCAAATCGTGCCTCATCCGTGCAATCAAAAATTAAAATGCTTGAAAAACTGTAAGTTAATAATGAAAAATAATTCCTTCAGGAATTTTGAACTGTTTTTATTATGTTTCTTCAGGCCCGAGCTTAAGCCGGTGGAAAAGGAGACTGTGGTTACGCTCAAATTCCCCGAAGTGGAGCCTCTAAATCCTCCCGTGCTGGCCATTTCGGAGGTATCGTTCCGTTATAACCCCGAAGATCCTCTACCCATCTTTAAGGGTGTAAATCTCTCAGCCACTTCCGACTCCCGAATATGCATTGTCGGAGAGAACGGAGCGGGAAAGTCGACACTGCTAAAGATTATTGTCGGTCAGCTGAGCACTATCTATGGAAACATTGTCCTGCATCGTGGTCTTCGAATTGGATATTTTGCCCAGCACCATGTAGACCATTTAAACATGAACGTGACTTGTGTGGGAGTATTGGCCGAACTGTTTCCCGGTCGACCGGATGAGGAGTATCGCCGGCAGTTGGGTAGTTTTGGGTTATCCGGACCACTGGCACTGCAGAGCATTGCCAGCTTATCTGGAGGACAGAAATCCCGCGTGGCCTTAGCAAAAATGTGCATGGGTAAGACCACGATAAACCACAGAATCTTAACTTTTACTTACTAAAAACGATATTCCTATAATAGCGGAACCCAATTTCCTGGTTCTTGATGAGCCTACAAATCACTTGGATATTGAAACCATCGATGCTTTAGGCCGGGCTATAAACGCCTTTAAGGTAAGGGAACTCTAATGTTAATTATCAACATTAAAGTAAACTTTTTATTTTGTAGGGCGGCGTCATACTAGTTTCCCACGACGAACGCCTCATTAAGGTTGTTTGCAAGGAACTCTGGGTGTGTGGCAATCGCACAGTCAGAGCGATCGAAGGTGGTCTGGATGAGTATAAGCGGGAGGTGTACAAGGAAATCGAAGCTAATAGTTGAATTTAATGTTAATAATTACTCTATTTGTGAAATAGCCTAGAAATAAATTTATATTATGTCTATGACACAAGAAAGAAAATGATCTTTGCGAGAGTACTTATTCATGCATACGGGTCATCAATTAATAAATTTGCCACAAAGTAAAAAAATAAAAATATTATACGTTATGTTCTGAATCATATTTTCTAAATAGATAACTACAAATTAGTTCCGAATAGTTGAAGTGCTGTTTTTTGAACGAATTATATATATTGTTAGCCTTTTGTTCTAACTTAATCTTTAACAATGGCCTGCTCATTAAGTTTTCTTCGCATCTCGAAGAGCAATAACGTCAAAGCAGATGCCACATTCAAGCTATCAATTCCAGCTGCCAGGGGTATATAAACGCATTTTCCTTTGCGCCCAACCAAGTTTAAGAAACTGTGTGAAAGAAAGCATTAACATTGTCTTGTAATTGTTATGTTTCTACCTTTACCGATAAGCTTCCTCACTGACTCCATGACTCTCACCGCCAATAATGAGCAGATTGTGGGTTCCGATGTCCTTGATTTCTGCATAATCGATAGTCTGGTTATGTTCCCTCTTGTTTTGGTTGCTTTCCGCAATGAAAACATGGCAATCGTCGGCTGCTTCGGGGGGAATGGTTAACGAAAGCTCATCCCAGGGGACATCATCTCGAATAGGCACTCGAAACTGGCCGCCACAACCCCCTCTTAAGGACTTCGACTCCCAAGGGTCGCAGCAGCCATGGGTAACCACCACCTGGCTGCAGGGTAGAGCGGCACAGGTCCTTATAATGCTGCCCAGGTTGTTTGGTTCCCTGATATTGTCGCACACAACTGTAATGGGCAAGGGCTTAGTGCCCAGACTCTGTTGCTCTGCCAGGTTCTTCTCTAAGCCTTTTTCTGAGGGCCTGTCAAAAATGGCCATCAGACCGGGAGGGGTTACCAACGAAGACCATGTCTTTAGGTCATGCTGCGGCACCTTATAAATCTTGGTGTGGGTCTCAACCTGCGCCCTGCCCACTTCCTCCTTCACCAAAGTCAACTGATCCTTCTGGCTGAACAAGAGTGTCTCCATTTTGAGACCGCATTGCAAGGCTTCCAGGATAAGCCGCCTACCTTCGACGATTATTTGTCTGTTCTTGTCCCTTCGCTTCCGGGAACGCACCGTAGTTAACAGAGTGCTGGTCAAAGGATCCTGCAGAGTAAGACGCACAAACTCCAGACTAAGCTCACTGTCCTTAATCACTGGAGCAGGAACTGGAGCTTTACGGGGAGCGGGTATTCCGGGAGCTGTAAATTTGCGAGGAACTACTGGAGCACTACCTTCCTTGACTTTCCTAGACACAGACGGTTTGGTTCGGTTCTTGCGTAAAGCTTCCCGCGTGTTTACCGGCTCATGCTTTAAATCTGAATTCCCAAAGAGATTGGCCTCTATATCCATCGCATCTTTGATATCGCCTTGGGGTCCATTTGAGCTGCTCAACCGTAGTAAATTTAAGTTATTCACATTCTTGATATTTGCTTGAAACGAGCGTTTTAAAATATTATAAAACATGGTCGGTCGGTCGCTGAAATTGAACAGATGTTCAGATAGTCACGGGTGTAGATTGTTAAGGGATTTAACTTCTTCTGACTCAAATCTATAAATTTTAAGTAGACAAATTTAATTATCAATAATGCATTTGAATGATAAATATTATTATATTATTTCATAATATTTAAGACCAATTTACACAACTCTCCATTGCTACGCCCATGTGAGCAGTGTTGAACAACGCAGCACGTATTAATAGTAATCCTACAGCACCAGAAAAAATAAGGCGGTAAATTCAAAATTGCAGCGTAGTTTAATGAAAATATATGTTTATTTCACTTTTAAAATTTGTGTTAGCAGTTAATAACAATTTGAAAATAATTAAAAACTAATAGCGTAATAAGTTGTCCTACTCAGTTGTTACGTAGTTAAGCAGCCATAACATAATACAATAATTTAAAATAACAATGCAAAATTCAAACGCCTTCTATTGTAAAAGCGAAGAGGGGATAGTTCCGTAAAACAAAATCAATATGGAAACGCGATAAACAATTAAAAACAAAAGAAATTCATCTAAATGGGGGGCTTCTTGTGGTAGCGTAAAATCTAGTATTTAAATAAATCCTTACATTAACCATAATTCATAATCTGTTCCATCTTAGCCTGGCCCGAAGGCCCTTTCACGAAATTTGTTCATAACAATGTACAATCTAAAGTTACTACTATCACCGTTACATCTTACATGGCTAAAGGCTAATTGTTAATTCAAGTTGCATAAATATTAATCAATGCCTCTAACTTTAGGCGTATATACACGGCTTAACCTATTCGCTGGCTACATCGGTTAGGTCGAACTGGCCGTGGAGCTGCTACTGGACTGTTGTGTCTTCCGCTGCCGGGCGCCACGTCCGGACAGCAAATATGATAAATCGATGGGCTGCTCCTGAGCTGTCTGTGCATCCAGACACTTAAGCTTCATAGTTATCAGAACGTTCTCCAAACGCGATCGCCTTTTCTTAAGCATCTTTCCGGAGAGAATAAAAAATTATTCATTTATACAAAATGTATTTGGAATAGAGGTGCACTCACCTGTTTATTGGGCGCAATCGGTTTCACGACATGGACTCCTGCGCCTTCCGCTGAGACCGCATTATATCCACGCGGCTTTCTTCCAACTGTTTTCAGCGGCTGCTCCTGCCTGCCAGTTGTCTTTTGTATCGTTGCTGACACGGCTCCTACTTCTAATTCAGTCTTTTGCTTCCTCGTTTTTAGTAACGAAGGATCCACATCATGAGGCTATAAAAAACAAACAAATTTTTAAAATGCTGTGTCACATAGTTATTTCACGTAATTCGGACTTACTGCATAGCTCTTGGAGATCTTTAGCTTCTCTGGAAACTTTCTGAAGGCGTAGCTCTTGGTACAGGCCGGATGATTGGCCTTCGCCTTGGAGAAGAACCTCGCCGTTTTGTCCACACGAAGCTCGCAGATAAAGCAATGATCCTCGTCGTTGCATTCCATGGGACGTCCTTTACAGAAAGTGGTACGATCCAAAACCCAGCAGCGCCCAATGACCAATTCAATTGGCACCACTTCATACAGTGAAACTCTTACCACCTCATTGGGATAAAACCGACGCGAAGGCTCATGGAATGTTTCATGAGGGCGCAGGAAATGGTGGCCGAATATGAAACGTTTCCCCATTTCGTTTTTCCATAAGTGTTCCACACGAAAGATGTCACACTCTTGGTAATCAATGGCTCCGATGGTTTCGTAAGTGTGCTTCTTTGTTGGCAATATCTTGCCGTCCTCATCCTTAATGGGGATATCCCGCAGCACATAGACAGCATCACCCTGACGCACCTGCAAATCGCCACGCATAAGGGAGAGATAGTAGCGGTGGCCTTCCTCTGTGAATTCGTCAAGGGGAATCTCCCGATCCACTTCCCTTGGCTCGCATCGTTCGCACTGGTAGTTATCCGCGTCGATGTCAGCTTTCGTACACTCTGTGTGCTGCCAAACCATACACTTGGAACACTGAATCATCAAACCCTCATCTTTGTACAATCCACAAATGCAACGAATTACATCCTCATCAGGAGATGCTTCAATAGGAAGCAGTGGAGGCGTGGTTTGCGATGGCACTGGTGGTGATTCCCTTTCCTTTGCTCCCGGCGATTTTTTCAATGCAATCTTTTCAACTTCCTCCACTGGTGAAAGGACATCCTTTGGTTTAAAATTTTGCAATGCCTCAGAATCGCCGAGAATCTCGACCAGCTGAACAAAGCTGGCCGCTTTCTGTTGCTCATAGGATTCCTTAAGAGATTGTAGTGCTTTGGCCTTGCCCTCGTCATCACCATGCTGCTGCTTGGCCTCCATAAAGAGCTGCTGCATGTGGTCATCATACTCCTGCGGCGTCTTGTAATGACCCTGTTCGACTTGGGTTTGTATCGACCTAAATTCCACTCGAGATGTTCCAGCCGTCGATCCTGATTTTCCACCCAATGAATTCTTTATAGCCTTTTTCTTCCTGCTGGACACTGTCGTTAACAGGTCAAACATTTTTAGAGTCTCCAGAGAACTGCAAATATCCCTTAAAACAACAGCCATTTTGGCCATTTTTTCCAATTCGGGATCGTGTACTGCCTGGGCCAAACCACGGGTTTTCATGTTCCGAGGTGAGCAAAGTGCAGATATCTGGGCTGCCAGCGAAGTGGACGATGGCGTGGAGGGTCGTCGGCCAGGAATGACCCCATTGGAGGTGCCCTGTGCTGGGAAAGTCGCGGTAATAGCTGCCAGGGCTGCCGCTTGCTTGGCTTTGCATCTGCGTATCTGATGAAGAAAGACGATGTGATAAGATTTAAGGTTTATATAATTATAATACATAATGGAAACCAACCTTTTCGAAGTTCCTTACTAGGAAAGTGTTGAATTGTTTAACCAGTTTCTTTTCCTTTTCAGACAGCGGCTGGAGCTTCGCCACCGCCACGGCTGATGCAGTGTCCTTGCCCGCTTGCCGTTGAGGGTGCTTTTTGGCCTTCTGTTTCCGTTGTCGACCATTTCGGCCTGGAACTCCCTCCGGTGCGGGCTTCGCCTCCAACGCGGGAAGTGGTTTTATCCTCTGCGATTTTCCTCCGATAACACCACGGCACTGAGGCGTGTTGCATCTGCAGGGTTGACCCTCTGAGGGATTAAATAACGAAAAGTTGTAATCGTAGGTTAGCTCCTCGCCCTGCTCTATGGCCCGTTTGGCGAAAAGGACCATCCTAGATAATCCGTTGACGCTCCATTTCTGCATCTCGCAATTGGGTTCGCAAGAGTGGTTGACAAATCTACAATCGCTTCCCATGCGCTGGCCATCAATAACCAATCCCCCATCCAAATGTAGACAATAGTGGTGCGTATCATTGAGATATATACTGGCCATCCGCTGCTTGAATTCCCTTTCGGTGACCACCTCTCCCACGTACTCCAGGATGTAGGTTCCCTTGGAAATTGGTAGTTTGGTTCTTACACCCCATCCTTTGTCCGTCGTCATGAAGCGCTCCACACCGGGAGCAACAGAGTGCCTTTGAATTTTTTGATTGTGGCACTTTTCTCCAGCTGGACAATTACTGGGCGAGCACTCCGTATAAACCATGCGATTCAGACAATTGTCCAAACAAGCTTTCTCGCCCTGATCCTTGCAGTTGCACGTGGGATGATCGAATCCAGCCAGATTCGGGCGCACTGACTCGGCGTAGACATTAGTGCGAATCTTTCGATAATTCCAGGATGGCACAACATTTCTAATTGGTAGCTTGGAGTTGGTGTAAGCCCACCAAATGTCGTAGGGTAGCTCAAAGTCCATTTCACTCCTACGTAGATACTTTTCGCAATAGGGCGGAGGCGGAAGAAGACTCCCCGGAGCCGCTTGCTGCTCCTCCAAAGCTGGTTTCTTATTTACCTTCGCTGGCGGCGGCATTAGCGATTGTTTGTAGTGATTAGAGAAGAGTCCTGCCACCAGATAGGTTTTTTTTACTTTAGACAGTTTCCGCAAAGAGGTGGTTGACGCTTTGTCCTCACTGGACTCGCTGCAACTGGCGTAGTCTGGTGGACCAGGATTCTGGGATTCATTGGCAGGTAAGGGATCATGTTCGATTGGGATATTGTCTAGCCTTTTAGCTTCAGCTTCGGCATCTATTTCCTCTTGGCTAGCGGGTATTTCTAGAGGAATCTCTTCCATTGGCGCTTGTTGAAATGGCTTTTCCTTTTTACTTTGTTGGGTTCCAGCTTCCAGATTTTTTCGTCGTTTCAAGCGAATCTTGCAGCTAAAATTCGTGTTGGGATCGACACCAGCTGGGAGTTTAATATTTGGCTCCAGTCTGTTCTTTTTGTGTTGTAAAGTTGGTGTGGGAGGCGGCTCTTCTAAGACAGGTTGTTTGGGCTGTCGGCCACGTTTTCTGACAGGCTTTATATCCGGTTCTGCTTTGGGTAGAGGTAAGGGAGGAACTGCTAGCTGATCCTTGTTTTTAGGCTTTCTACCTCGGGGTCTTCCTCTGGCGGGTGTCTGTGGTCGTTGTAATCGCTCCAGGGCCACCACTGATAAACGTGGAGCTCTCTGATTGCTTCTGGCCACAAAGTTTTCCCGGGCTTCTCCTGCTTGGGGCACTCGCTCACAATCTATTTGTGGATTACCTGGTACCTGTACCTGGGCACTGCTGCTGCTCCTCGTTTCCCTTAAAGATTGCAGAGGCTCATCATCGGGGTCAATCTCCGGCTCGTGTTCGTCCATCACCGTTGTTGGCTGCTGTTCCACGCTGACCTTACGCTTCTTCCTCCGCACCGTGGGGAAACCTGTTCGATTGATCTTTTTTCTCTTGCGTTTCAGGAGGAGATTGCCTCCCGTTTTATGCAACAAGGTTTCCACAACTCGCTGGCCAATCTCCTTTTTGGTATCCTCCTTAATGTCTAGTGCCGAGAGCAGCGGAGACTCAACCTCTGCTTTGGTGATGACTGATTCGTTAAGTTTACCAAGAGGTATTTGGATTTCCAGCTCCACAGATGGCTCAAACACCCCGGGGGGAGGATAGCTACCAGCTGGGGATTTAAGCTGAGCCAAATCCTTAGTTACCGTCACCTTTTGTTTAGCTGATCCTCCTCTCCTTTGCTGTCTGAGGGAGCACAATGAGCTAGGGCTAATATCCAATAGCTTTCCTCCACTAATTGAGTTGTTATCCACAACAATCCTCAAGGGAGAATTGCTGGCTGAAGAACCAGCTCCGCTTAGAGCCGAAGTTTGCTCCAAGAGGTGTCTCTTTTTGGGCGTAAGCGCCGACTTTCCGCTTCTAGCGTTAAACTGTGCCTGGGATTTAGTAGACGCAGTGCTTTTAGCGGTTGCGGCCGCTGCTGCCCAGGCTTCTGCATTCAGTTTTCCATTGGCGAAAGCGACTTCCGCAGGAGGACGCTCTCCCGGAGTCAGAAGGTAGTGGCGCTTTTTTAGCGGCAACTTATGATCATCGGGACTGGAGCTGTCATTGCTCTGGGATTTCTTGTGCCGCCGCTTGGCATTCCCATTGCTGCTTCCACTTCCATTGGGAGTTCCACTTGCGCTAGCCGATAGCATAGCGAAGTCCACCAGGGGCTCACTGAGCTTTCGCTTCTTCAAGGCCCTTTTCAACGGTTTCGCGAGCGTTGAAGCTGACCCCCCACCGTTCAGAACCAACTGCTGTGCAGGACTTGGAGCAGCTAGTGTAGCCTGTAACTTGCTGGCGTCTGCCAAAAGTTTCTCCTTGCCGCTGCTTCCGGTCAAGCGATCGTCCTGAATGCGACATCTCGAGTGAAAGGTACTCGTTATTATCTCGATTTCGGTGAGCAGCTTAGAGTCAATGTTTAAGGACTTGTTGTGACTAAAACTCTTCCGACGGTGCCTGCGACGCATTCTAGACACCCCAGATACGTAGCTGCTGCACATACTGGCAGCCGAGGAGCGTCGGGATTTAATCTTACAGGAGGATTTGCTGGGAGCCGGGGTCTCTTTCCTCTGATTCATCATCTTACTGATAAAGTTTTCCGGGGTGGTGGCAGACAAACTACTGCCGCCACGACCGAAATATTGACCCGTAGTCACATAGCGGTTGATCTCGCCGTACTTCTTGCTGGCACTCGTTGTGGGCAGACTCTTGAGGCTCGGCTTGCTGATGTATTCGTTGCTCTCCTCGCTGCTTTGGCCTAGAGATAACCCCGCCAGCTGAAGGATGTCCTGATCTTCCACGGGATCGTCTGCAGTGCCCTTTAAGAGCATTGAAGCCCTGCGTTTACGCCTCATGCGTAGTCCGGACTTTCCCGATTCTTTGCAATCACTGCGGTAGCCACAGCTCTTTGCCCTGCTTCTGCGACTCATACAGCTCTTAGTGCTGTATCGACTCTTGCAGCTGGCATCGGACTTATACCCGGAATTGTGGTTGTGGGTGCTTCTCTGATGCCTTACGCTTCCGTAATCCGAGACGTAGCCGCTCTTGGCAGCCAGGACCTTGCTGCAAATGGTTGTGCCAGCTCCAGTTCCACTAGCCGCGCCTACACTCATGCTCCTCAGACGGAACTTTTTATTCACATCGATTTCCCGCCAAAGCGGATCCAGCTGAAGTTCCTCTTTGTTGGATGAGCTGGAGGCTGCCTTTTTATTGTTTTGGCGCCGCTTGCTCCTGGGCGGAGGATATAGCACCCGCTCGGTAGCATACATGCGCTTGTCCAGATATGCCATATCGATCTTCGGCTTACTGCTGGATGCGATCGGCACTGCTCCCGTGGGCACAATGTTCTCACTTTGTAATTTCGGCGAAGGTGTCGTACTTTGTGTAGTGCTTGTTGTACTAATTACACCAGAATCGGCGGATTCGTTTATAGCAGGTCCAGAGTTTGCAGAGGCAGGAACTGTGGGTATCACCTTTTTGGGTCTGCCCCTCCGCTTTCGAGGATTAGCGGTTTGCACAAGAGGGTCCTCCTTAGCTTTAACCACTTTCTCTTCTGGAAGCTTCGAACTGGCGCTTTGTCCTAACATCTGAGTCTTCTCCATGAAGTCCTGAAGCAAAGTGGATTGGTACTGGGGCAGATTCTTGTCCTTGGCAGCTTTGCGGAAGCTGCCCTCTACAGTGGTGTCTTCCGTATCGCTCTCTACTCGCTTGATGGCCGCTTGCACGAGGCTGGGCAACTCATTGTCACTGGAGGAGATTCCAATGTCCAGCGGGATTTTACTGGCAGACTGAGCCGCTTGGGAGATTGCTGTTAGCAGCAATCGCGGAGCCCTCTGTTGGTGAATCTTTAGGGGCAGATCATCCTCGGAGTCCGAGGAAAACGCCGAGATCTGTGGCTTCTTAGACTTTGATACTTTATCCAATTTGCTTATCCCACTGGTGCTGGCCAGCTTCTTTCGCTTGACCTTGACTTTCTTGCTGACTGCTCTATTCCTGGCCTCCGAGCAACCGGACTCAGTGTCCTGAGTGGACATTTTTCTGGGCTTTAGAGGTTTTTTAGTTGCGGGAACTCCTGATGGGGGGCGGATGGCCGAGATTCTCATTCGCAGGCCATCGGTGTCCGAACGCTGCACGCTGAACTGGGTGGCTGATTTGGTGGACTTCGACTGGCTCGATTGATCCGTAATGGAGTCGGTTTCCTGTGGGCGAACAATACAATTTACATATCTAATGTGGTGAGTGCCATTTGACAGACTTGCCTCATTTTCACTGCCGGACTCTTGTGCTCGTTGCGTTTCCAGAACCTTTGCTGCTCCCGTCTCATTTTGGCCACTGCTCATATTTTGCTGTCGCTGGGAAGCTGCAAGATATTCCTTTTTGTTAGCCAAGTGCGTTTTGGTGGCTCTCTTAATCGCATTTAAAGTAGGTCAAACCGCGGCGACGTCGTCCAAAAAAAACTTTTCCCCCCGCACACTTACGCTTGATTGTCCTCTTGGCTAGCACCTTCACTCGCCGCTTTAATATAGTTTCAATATAGCGTCTGGACAATCTATTAGTTCACACATTGCATTTGCACTTTTCTTGCGCCTTTGGCCGTGGCTTGCCTGCTTCTAAAATGGCGCCGTTTTCACTTTTCCAAAAACTGCTTTGTTCGACGCCCGACGACGACGCAATGTTGCAAATTATTTTGCATGTAGCACATTAATCCGCGATCCCGATATTTCACTTTTTTTCAACTCGCGAGCGGTGGGTCGCTCTTTAATTGTTATTGTTAATGTGGCGCAACAACAAAAAGCCAGGCAACCAAAAATGTATGAACATAAATAAAGAAAAGAAAAACCTATCGGGCCATATCGTTCATCGATTTCAGGAGGCGTTATTTAGCTGAACCTATCGGTTCCTAACGCACGTCGATAACTGAAGGCGAAATGCTGGCTGCATTTTGGTATTGCCATCTGGGACAATGTTGCCATGCACTATGAAATATCGCTAGTGGAATAATCGAGCTACAAATAGCTAAATGTTTTAATATGTATTACTATGTATATATTTAATGAACACTAAGAAAATGTTGTGAATTAAATTCTGTATCAGGACTATATGGATATAAATATATATATAAACTTATTTAAGTTATTTGGGTAAAAATAAAAAACAATGTAATATATTGCAGTTTTGTATTTATTTTTAATACATTAAATTACATTTTAAACAATTTGGATAAGCAAGAATTGAAAAGAATTTAAAAAAAAAGCTAAACTTCATTCTGGATTTCGCATCACTGTTCCCCTTGTTTCGCATTTGCGGTGTGTACACACTGGCCGAGCAGGTCGGCAAAACTATTTGTTTATTTGTAAAAACTCTGAAAATGAGTGGAAAAGCGTCGAAATCGAATAGTGCATCCAGCAGCATGCTGTACGGGTCCAGTATCTCGGCGGAGTCTATGAAGGTGATCGCGGAGAGCATCGGCGTGGGGTCTCTGTCGGATGACGCCGCCAAGGAGCTGGCGGAAGATGTGTCTATAAAATTGAAGAGGATAGTCCAGGATGCGGCCAAATTCATGCACCATGCAAAACGACAGAAGCTCTCTGTTCGAGACATTGATATGGCCCTTAAAGTGCGGAATGTGGAGCCGCAGTATGGCTTCGTTTCCAAGGACTTTATACCTTTCCGCTTCGCTTCCGGGGGAGGAAGAGAGCTACATTTTACCGAGGACAAGGAGATCGACCTGAGCGAGATAACCTCTAGTAACTCCGTGAAGATTCCGCTGGACCTCACCCTGCGGTCCCATTGGTTTGTAGTAGAAGGAGTTCAACCCACTGTGCCAGAAAACCCGCCGCCTCTCTCAAAAGATTCCCAGTTTCTGGACTCCGTCAATCCGGTTATTAAGCTCGATCAGGGCTTAAACAAAGATGCAGCTGGCAAACCCACCACTGGCAAGATTCACAAGCTCAAAAACGTGGAGACTATCCACGTCAAACAATTGGCCACGCACGAGTTGTCCGTGGAGCAGCAGTTGTACTATAAGGAGATCACCGAGGCCTGCGTGGGATCAGATGAGCCGCGACGCGGTGAAGCGCTGCAGTCACTGGGATCCGATCCTGGCCTGCACGAAATGCTGCCCCGTATGTGCACGTTTATCGCCGAGGGAGTTAAGGTCAATGTGGTGCAGAACAATCTGGCACTGCTTATCTACCTCATGCGCATGGTGCGTGCGCTGCTCGACAATCCATCGTTGTTCCTGGAGAAATACGTAAGGACCATTATATTTGATGGATTTATCATAATAATGAATTGGTCTTCCTATAGCTGCACGAACTGATACCCTCGGTAATGACCTGCATTGTGTCCAAGCAACTTTGCATGAGACCGGAGCTGGATAACCACTGGGCGCTGCGTGACTTTGCCTCCAGACTGATGGCGCAAATCTGCAAAAACTTCAACACCCTGACCAACAACCTGCAAACCCGTGTTACCCGGTAAGTCTTCCCTGTTTTAAGATGATAACAGTTTATTATTTGCCTCTCCCTCCAGCATCTTTAGCAAAGCGCTGCAGAACGATAAAACCCACCTGTCCTCGCTGTACGGATCGATTGCGGGACTCTCAGAGTTGGGCGGCGAGGTTATAAAAGTGTTTATTGTTCCACGTCTTAAGTTCATATCGGAGCGCATTGAACCCCATCTGCTTGGTACCTCCATTAGTAACACGGACAAGACAGCCGCCGGTCACATTCGAGCCATGCTCCAAAAGTGCTGTCCGCCGATCCTGAAGCAAATGCGCTCTGCGCCAGACATGGCGGAGGACTACAAGAACGACTTTGGCTTTTTGGGACCATCGCTGTGTCAAGCGGTGGTCAAAGTACGTAATGCACCCGCCACAAGCATTGTCACCCTGTCGTCAAACACGATCAACACAGCGCCGATCACAAGTGCAGCACAAACAGCAACCACCATTGGTCGTGTTTCCATGCCCAGCACACAAAGACAAGGGTAGGTAATGGTTGCCATTGAACGATTTTTATATTTCCCCCCTTAAGCCAAATAGTTTTCTTATTTAAATTTCTTCACTATTTCTCTGAATTATTAAGGAGACGAATCTTTCAAGGGTTTCACGACCTTAAAAGCATTTGGTCACAATTACTTTTTCGACCACACTAATCTTCTGAAATCTTTCTTTATAGAAGCCCTGGGGTATCGGCTCTGCCCCAGATAAGAGCCATCCAAGCCAACCAGCCGCCGCAGAAGTTTGTGATAGTCACCCAGAACTCGCCGCAGCAGGGTCAGTCAAAAGTGGTGCGACGGGGCAGCTCCCCGCACAGTGTGGTGCTCTCCGCGGCCTCCAACGGAGCCAATGCCTCTAATTCCAACTCAAATTCGAGCGGCAGCCTACTATCAGCTGCACAGCGGAGCAGCGATAATGTGGGTGTTAGTGCCGGTAGCGATGTGCCAGCAGTTGATGGTATAACAGTTGAATCTTTCAGAGCACCCTAGACGCCAACTCGCTGATCATTGAGTCGGAGATCGTTCGCGTCCCGCCCGAGCTGGACGATCTCTCACATCTGGAGTAGCCAGCCTAGCACGTAGTCCACATAATCAATTTGTATGCAATAAAACAAAGAAAGCGGGAACCTACCCCAAAAATATGTTACCACACAGAGAGAGAAAATATTATTAAATCTTGATTAGTATAAGCTTTGTGTAAATTATAACGTTTCCGTCTTTTAGCCTTTACAAATTTATCTTTTTGGACGATATAAGATGTTAATATCACTATAATTTTAATCGATATCACTGTATTGTACTCTGCAATATCTGTGTCTCAAATCTTATTTGCTAAAAAAAAGAAGAAATTAATTTTTTCTGTGCAAAACCAATCCCTTTCCACCCATTTGTGAAAGCTTGCCCACGCAGTCAGCACGCATGTGCGGGTATGGGTCCCCAAGAGGTTTGATATTGATTTTTCCAAAACATTCCTCGGCAAACGCACAAAGAGCTCTGCTCAACACTCCTTGTAGATACCCATCGTAGGACAGAGACAAAGCTCGGAGCAGTTCTGTCGGAATTTTCAAAGGATAAAAAGGAATTCTCACAAAAGCAGAGTGAAAATGCATGCAAGATTTGCGGATCCCGAGCCCGCGTCTCCGGACAGTGGAGATGGAATCGAAACGGAGTCGCTGGAGGCCAGAATCGAGGCATTTAAGCAGAGTCCCCAGAACATGGCCGCTCTGAGGGAAGTGCTCGACGATGTGGTCCTGCGGGCTGAGACGGAGGCCAACAGGCGAGCAATAGAAACCCAGAAATCGCAACAGGTTGATTTGCTTATATTTAATTTTATTTTCTACCTAACTGATACACTGTATCTACCTTTGCAGGGCAAGGAAAAACGACAGAGTAAGTATACGCCGTGTGGTTCAGTGACATTCGCTTTTTAGCTTATTTGGATAGTGTATGCCTTTTACTTACGGCCTCCTTAACAACCCTTCGCCAGTCGCTTGATGGCTCTTTAGATTCTTGTGCACAAATTCTTGTAATCTTGGCCTACGAATATCGAGCATAATAGATAAAGGGTTATTTATGATAAAATTAAGGACCATGAATCCAGAAAGACTGAAGTGTTTTTCAGTGCATAGGGCTTTTGCGACAATGAACTAAGCCCTGTCGTAAGAAGTGCCTATCGCGTTCAATGAATCAAAGAACTTAGTGGTTGAGGTATAAAACTGAAATAGTGAGTATATAACATCACAGGCATTGTAGGTTTCGGTCCGTTTTAAATAGTATTTTTAATAAAGTTTTTAATTGAAGAATACGATTAAAAACTTAATTTTATGAAAGGAACAACTGTAGTTTATTTGTTTTCTTTTCATGAACCGGCATTCAAAACACTGGTTTTTTAATGGTCCGTGGTTCCAATTACGTTCTTTGAAATTTTTTCATATCACACAACGTGCATGTTTCCTAATCCTTATTTAGTCTTCCTATATATTTTCCATAAAATCGCATAATTTTAACTTTAAACTTGGTAATAATTAAAATCATTTAAATATTACATTAGTACCAGGACAATAGTCAGGTGGTCGGTCGAAAAAGATTATTCTACAGCGGGAACAAAAACCACGAATAACCTTTGGCACAGAGACTCTATAGACCGACCCTGTGCTTATTAACAGGTGGTGATTAAATCTGGGGAATTAGATATGGAATATAAGTAATAATCGCACTTGCACGCCATTTTCACCCATTCTCCATCACCGGTTGCCAGCTCGATTGCATGTCCATATTTTGTTGCACTTAACTTGTAATTTGCTCTCACTGATCTTGGTTTTCTTATTTTGGGTACTTTCTGCGCTTCGCATGCACTAATCTCTCAGGTTTCGCCATACCAGATTTTAAGAACGGCAAGGTGGTGAACCGGGCCCGAGGATTTGTCGTTCGAATCTTCGATGCCATATGCAATTGTGCCAACAACAATGCAGCGGCGGCCACGACGCGCTTCAAGCTAAGGAGCAATAGCGGCGGTGGGGGAGGACTTGGAGGAGCCAGCGGAAATGGCAAGCGACAGCAGTCGCAGGACGAGCCGGAAACCCTGGTTCTAACTAAGAAGAAGCCAGCCGGAGAGGGGAAAAAAAAGAAAGGCGTAAGCATGGCCGATGATGTTCAAGCCGGCGTTCGACTGATGGACTAAGCAAGCAATATAAGCGATGGTTGATCCTGCAATGGGAAAACATAATCAAAATTATTAACAGCCCCTTCCTTAACACAGAACTTACATTCAGCAGTTTCCCTCTGTCTCATAAAACTTTAATGGGCCTTGCCCAGAAGCATTTTCTTTGCTCAAATGTCTAAAGCACATTATAATTATTCCAAGTCTTCCCAAGAAGACCAAAAATTGTCATATAAGATAAGAAGTCCTGTTTCTCATTTGAAATCGGATTTCGATTTTGAAAAGTTTTGAAGGTGATTAATATTATTGAAATTTATTAGGTAATTTCTTGTCAGAATATGTGACCATAGGAATTCTCCGACAAATGAAAACAGGACTAATAGGACAGTCTAAGCTCTCTACTTTATGATTTTATAAACCTAAATGTGATCCCTGATGGAAATGTAAACAAAAGAACTCGAAGCACAAACAACTTCTAGATTAGTTAGGGAAGGAGAAATGAACCAAAATCATATAGGATATCTCACTCTCATACTCTCAGCCGACACCCGAGGCTATCCCACGCACAACGCAATCAACGGCATTACACAATCCCTAGTGGAATCCATGCCAAGCTTAACAACAGGCCAGCCAATCTCCACCTAATTATAACTATGATATATCAAATTATATACCTATATGTGTATACCTAGGTGTGTACCGTACCACCTACCTATTTAGATGTGTGTGCAGTAGTTACAAAATATTTCCAAACAAGCTAACAAACGGTTCAATATACAAGCATAAATGTGTACTGATTTTATATACAATGTACTATTACTAACTACTATACTCGTATACATGTGGACATAATTAGACTCTTAGTTATATACACAAACCACTTCCTAAACGCCGCACAGGTTTCCTCAAACATCCTCATCAATATCATCAACAAAATCCGCAACACGCACGCTCTAATCGGATATATTTTTGTGAAGCCCTTTTTGAGAGTTCTATAAAGACACTATTCTATACCGAATCCGAAATTAATGATGTCGTATGCGATAACTAGCTAACGAGATAACTTTGTACACACATTTGCAAGGCAACCATTTTGTATAAGATTTTGCATTTATTTTTTAACCTTTAGAATGCAAAGATCTCACTAAGTTCGAATGTGTTGCTAAGCCAATTGAGTATTTATAAATTACAAAATGTATAAGTGTGCATAATATAAAACTGTTGTATTTAGTTAACAATATCAGCAATAAAGTGTAACAATGTTTGAAATCAAAAAGGTGATTGTGTAAATTTCTGTTTTATATTGCTAAGCATTTTTTTTTGGGCAATGGGATGTACTACAATGATGCTGTACACCTTGGACTCTTTAAATGCATTGTAAAAATTGTTCTAAGGCCACTTAAACTGCCCTTCGCCATTCTCAGCCAGGCACTTTGCTGTTTGGTAGACCCTTTCACACGACTCCTTAAAAGCTTTGTCTGTAAAGGAACAACCTTAGATAGTGACCTAGATGATTGCTTCATACTTACGCGCATCCCTGCAAGCCTCAACGGATCGCTTGGACACCTCCATCATTTCAGTTGGGACCAGATGAGGAAGCTGGGCAAGGGCCTTTGCAGCATTGAATTCTCCTTTTTTATTCACTGTGCCCGCCATTAAGGACACGCACTTTGTGTAGCACTTAAAAAGAAATTGATTAATTTTACCAAAAACTTACTACAAATACGAATCATCTCAATTTTCTAAGCGATTCAATTCAATTTTCTAAGAGATACTCACCATCAGATCCTGTGATGGGGGAAAACTGAAATCTCCTTCTCTAAGCCGATCGAGATCTTCTATATTAAGTTTAAACTTGGGTGCACAGCCATTTCTGATCATGTCTAGCGAGGCAAGAAATTGGTCCATTGTCATGGCTTCTCCAGGATCAGGAAAAAGGAATACCAAAATTTGCAGGACGAGGGCCAACAAGGCGGATGAACGTCGTTTCCAATGTTTCATGGTGGCGGTAACGAAATACGTCGACTGACCATAGAGTGGGATACATTTATAGCCCTTAGTGGGCCGGAAAGGTGGTAATTAAATCGCAGGGTCCAGTAATTAAACAACGCACCCACACGCCAATTTTGATTTGTATATAACGTGTAAAAACGTATTGCATGTGTTTAAAGGGTTCTAACCAAAATATTTTGTTTTGGAATGAAAAATCTTTCCATACACTAAAAAACAAATAATTTTTAGAGCTTCCTTTCAAATTTAACCATAACTCCACTCGTTTTGTGATCTTAATCAAGAATGCTTATATATATAGAGTTGGGAACGCTTTCACATACTCTGTAAAACGACTCTAATGTAAAAAATAATAAAATAAGTTTTTTGCTAAGATGGGTGTAACTTTAGCTTTCAGCTTTATGTAAACAAAAAAAAGTTTTTATTACAAGTCAATGATTTCAGTATTTTTTTTTAATATTTTAAATAGATCTATTTTTTTCTTTTATTTTAAATAAAATATTTTTATTGATGCTATTATATATTATGATATTATTGCAAAACGAATAAATCTTACATCACAGTACTTCTTTCAGATTCCGGTTTTTGCATGTAATTGATTTATTATTATTGTTTTGATGTGCAAGCGTCAAAAGGCAATAAGATAGTGAATATAAGCTGTGTACTTATAAAATCTTCCTTAGTATTTCGGAGATGTTACTTCTATGGAATCAAAACCCACCGAACCGGATCATTTGCGATGCACATCACGTTTTCCTCGGAGAATCCAAGTTGATCATCGTTGGCAATATTTTGCCCTTGGAAACATGTTGCCAAGCTATATGCCAGCAACATTGAGATAATACACAAAATTGGGTCTAAGCTCATAAGCATTAAAGGGGACCGGCATCCCAGTGCCTCGCTTTCCACCCTACAGATAAGCCCAGAGCAGAAATTACTCGGAGTGGCTTGATATTCATTATATTTACTATATAAGTGGCGGTTCCCATCGCCGAAAGCTTTTGTCTGGGAACTGAGCTTGAACTACGCGACTTGCCTGAGATCCGCTTAATTAGCCAGGAAATCCCAAAAGTGTCAACACATCGAAAAAGTTCAAAAATAGTATCCAAGTTAAATCGTAAGTTGAGCCGATCTCAGCTCGGCTTCCATATCGGAGAAGCAGTTTGTTCGAGAATTGCACAAAACAGATTTGATTCAACTGGCAACGGAAGCGGCGTGCGATAAAATCCCACTGCATTTGCGAAAATAAATCAAAATGAAGGCTTTTTTTTGGGCTTTCGTGGTTTTATTGGAATATAACCTCCAGCATGTATATGCTAAGACATTAACAGGCGATTATATAGGTAAGTGAACATCATCAGTACGAATATTAGTGCGCAAATACATATAATCAAATTACTTGCAAATGAACTATTTGGTAAGTAAAGATAAGTCTCTGATACCCAATCTTGCCTTCTTGTTATAAATTGTTTGTTCTGTTGAGTTCGCAATATGATTAAAGTGTATATAAAAAATTTAAGTATTAAATAATAAAATATATGTGTAAATTTAGCTTAGATTCTCTACAACCAATACCTTCTATTAACAATTAGTATGTACAAATTGCTTAAATTGTATATAAATAGCTCATAAAAGCCTTTCTTTTTACCATTTAGACCTCCTCGAGATCAATGATAATGAAGAGTTTCAATGGGGGGAACCTGAAAACCAGGCATACGAAAATCGCACAGGGGAACACAAAGTCGTTAGTTTTCTATCACGACATCGCCTTAACAAGCGGCAGGCTCCGACTTCGCAATTACTAGTGAGTCATTATTTGATGCTTACATAGATACTATATTTGAATAATGCATTGTAATAATAATACAATTTATTGTCACAGGAGAACAAGGATTATGGTCCGTGCAGCACTCCTATGGGCGAATCTGGCCGATGTCGCCACATTATATACTGTCGCATGCCAGAACTTAAGAATGATGTCTGGCGGCTTGTCTCTCAGCTGTGCATCATTGAGAAGAGGTATGTGAGTTCAAGGAATATCCTCTAAATATAGAGAAACTAAAATTAAAGTTAATAAGTTTCTTGAATCTATATTATTTAGTTTTTTAAAAAACATCAGTATGGAATCAACTTAGCAAATACATTACATCAAAATAATCTTTTCTCTCTAGCGCCATAGGCATTTGCTGCACTGACCAATCGACGAGCAATCGCTTCAGTCCGCAGATCGTGACCAACCCGGACACGGATGAGCCGCGCATTGTTAATAAGCCGGAGCAGCGAGGCTGTGGGATTACCACCAGACAGTTCCCGAGGCTTACTGGCGGACGGCCAGCCGAGCCGGACGAATGGCCCTGGATGGCAGCCCTGCTGCAGGAGGGACTGCCCTTCGTATGGTGCGGTGGAGTCCTGATCACCGATCGCCATGTCCTTACTGCCGCCCACTGTATCCACAAGAAGAGTAAGTCGGATATCTTCGTGCGTCTGGGCGAGTACAATACTCATATGCTGAATGAGACGAGGGCGAGGGATTTCCGAATTGCCAACATGGTGCTCCACATCGATTACAATCCGCAGAACTACGACAATGATATTGCTATAATCAGGATCGACAGGGCCACGCTGTTTAACACCTACATCTGGCCAGTTTGCATGCCTCCAGTGAACGAGGATTGGTCAGACAGGAATGCTATTGTCACGGGCTGGGGCACCCAGAAATTTGGAGGACCTCATTCCAATATTCTAATGGAGGTGTGAATTAACTACATGAATTACTCATTTATACAGCATTTATTATTGTTTGTACATATTAGATTCTTCGACTTATGATTTTAGAACTTTCATTTAAGTTTATTTTTAAAGCATCGATCAAAACAACTTATAATTCTCGTACCTTTAAAATCAGCAGTTTATAAACATTTTAAAGTACCTCATTTTATAGTAATTGAAGAGTTTAAGATATTTATTATGTAGAATGGAAAACAATTCTGAGTTCATAGTGCAAAATTCCTTAAAAATAGAAATACAACATTTAATAATGAATTCTTACGACTTTAGGTCAACCTGCCGGTATGGAAACAGTCTGACTGCCGGGCCTCATTTGTACAGCACATTCCGGATACCGCCATGTGTGCCGGATTCCAAGAAGGAGGTCAGGACTCCTGTCAAGGCGACAGTGGGGGTCCACTTCTGGTACAACTACCCAACCAACGCTGGGTCACTATCGGCATCGTGTCTTGGGGCGTCGGTTGTGGACAGCGTGGTCGCCCGGGTATCTATACTCGTGTGGATCGGTATCTGGACTGGATTCTGGCCAATGCAGATATTTAGAGTATACACAAGACTGTTTTCAGTTCGTCAGTACATTCAATTTACTTGGCATTTAGTTTAACAAATGCTTTGGTCTAAATACTCTAATTAACCTGGTAACGATCGATATTAATAAAAACTACGAACACCCGATTCACCCCCAAGCTAAAGCTACGATTAAGGCCTTGACGCCGTTTTTGCTGTGGCCGCGCTAGAAACCTTTTGCAGGGGCTCCTGCTCTACCACGTTTTTCGTCGTCGTTTCGGTGGCATCAGCAAAGGCTATTTTGTAGACATCCTCGTAGGTGGTGGCAAAGTGTACTTCCAAGCCTTCGGTAATGTAAGTGGGCAATTCTTCGAAGTCCTTTTTGTTATCCACAGGAAGGATCAGACAATTAACACCACTGCGACGGGCCTGGAGGGGAAAAATTTAAAGTTTTAACGAAAACGACTTATTTGACTTCTTATTTAACTTACAGCAATAGTTTTCTCCTTAATGCCACCAACGGTCAGGACCTTTCCCTTTAAGGACACTTCACCCGTCATAGCCACATCTTGACGCACTGGCTTTCCGGTAGCCAAAGAAACCAGGGCTGTGATGATGGTAACTCCTGCACTGGGGCCATCTTTTGGCGTGGCACCTTCAGGAACATGGAGATGAATGTGTCTGTAAAGCAATAAAATATCATACTAAAAACCCTGCCTTTGAAGATTAAAAGTTAAAACTTACTCTTGCTCTAGGAACAAATTCTTAGGATCCAGCGCGTATATAAAGTTGCGCGCCACTGTCAAGGCTATCTGCGCCGACTCTTTCATGACATCTCCCAAATTTCCAGTGATGTGTAGAGTTCCACCTCCAGCCGTCGAATCTGTTTTTTTCTCTTGGCGTATGTGCCGCCTGGAAGTCTCGATATACAGCGATGAGCCGCCCATGGCCGTCCATGCTAGACCCATTACCACGCCCACCGGTGTGGTGGCGTACATGCGATCTGAGCTGAAGATCTGCTTGCCCAGAAATGTGGTCAGGTTATCAGCATTTACCGGGAAGTGCTCACCCTCCTTCTTGACCAGTCGGAAAGCCACCTTGCGGATAACTTTCTCAATATGCTTTTGTAGATTTCGCACACCAGATTCCCGGCAATAACTTCGTATTAGCATATTTAAGGCATCCTCGGTAATGTTGATTTGCTTATCCGTTAATCCACAGTCCTTCATGGCCTGTGGCATTAGGTACTGACGAGCGATGGCGATCTTTTCCTCAGCCACATAACCAGACATCTCAATCAACTCCATGCGATCTCTCAAGGGCTCGGGGATAGTGTCGATCACATTGGCCGTGCAAATAAATAGCACTCGTGAGAGATCCACTGGAACATCGAGATAGTGATCTAGGAAATTCGCGTTTTGCTCTGGATCTAGAAGTTCCAACAAGGCTGAGCTGGGATCTCCCTGGTATCCTCTAAAAAAGGCATTAATTTAACTATGTTATATTTTAATATGAAACCTTCCACATACTTGCCGATCTTGTCCACTTCGTCGATCAGCACCAGTGGATTTTCAATCTTGGTCTTCTTCAGGCACTGAATCAACTTGCCCGGCATTGCTCCCACATAGGTGCGCCGATGTCCTTTGATTTCGGCTACGTCTGTCATTCCACCAACACTGAACCGAAAGTATTCTCGGTTCAAAGCACGAGCAATGGACTTTGCTATGCTAGTCTTGCCTACACCAGGTGGCCCATGGAAGCACAAGATCTTTCCCTGGGTAGTACCTTTCAGGGAACTGACAGCAATAAACTCTAGGATACGCTTTTTAATATCCTCCATGCCGTAATGATCGTTATTCAGTATTTCGGTGGCCTTCTCCAGACAGAGGTTTTCGGTGCTAATAACGCCCCAAGGCAGAGAGGTGAGCCAGTCAAGGTAATTACGGGTTACGCTGAAAATGTATGGAGATATTAGTTTTCTATATAACATGTGTAATATCAATTATTACTTAAACTCAGAGCTATGACTTTCGAGGAAGTTCAGTTTGGTTAACTCTTCATCAATGACAGTCATTATGCTTTCGGGGACGACTTTATCCTTCAGTTTTTCGCGATACTTTTCGCCAATTGCATCCTTATCGTCTTTCTCGATTCCCAGTTCCTTTTTGATAACCTTCAATTGCTCTTGGAGTATATACTTGCGATGCTGCTGCTTGACCTTCTCCTCAACCTCACGCCCAATTTTTTGTTGCAATCTTGAGAGCTCCAGTTCCTTTTTAAGAAGAGTTAGGGCTAGTTGCAGACGTTCTGGGATCTGTTAATAAGATTACCATTACTATATACACTTTTGTTTTTAGTATAATTCTATTTACATCAGTTTCCTCTAGGATCTTTTGGAGCTCAGCTGGTTCTCCTGCTGAAAGTGAAGCACCTAAATCACACAGATAAATCGGATTGTCGACAACTCGTTGGTTTTGATGAAGCATTTGCTGAAGACTCTCCCTGAAGATAGCATACGAGTTAAATAATCAATAAATTTCAACTATTACTCGGTTACCTATATAGCGGATTCATAGTGATAATATCTCGAAGAGTCTTGATTATTTCTTGAGTCAAAGCTTTAACCTCTTCCGTTTGTTTGTAAATTGGTTGCTTAACATTTTCCACTTCTACGATAAGAACAGGAAGAGCGCTGGGCGCGGATTGTGCGTCCCCTTCTGATGCACTCGGGGATTCTACTTTCTTTCCTTCAGTTGGGGGGCTTGGTGAACTAGCAGACTGAACTTGGCCTGACTTCAGTGGCGGCTCCAAAGTTTGGTTTTGTACCATTTCCTCTGCGGCCTCCGATTCGCGTAATTTTCCAGCCCGACCCCTAGGTACACGGCCGCGAGGCTTACGGGCTGGGTCGTATCTGGACTTTATGGGCGCCTCCTCCGCCTGATCAGTCGTTTGATCTTCAGCTGGGATTTGTAATTTGACATTAAATAGTGGATAGTGCAAAGTTGTCATTTTCACTAAGAGCAGAAACACATATCACATATTTGGGCGCTTAGTGTGTGTATAGTCTATATGCTTACCGGGCTTTGGAGGTGGAACATCCTCGACTACCTGGCCAGTGATCCGAATACGACGATGAGCCACCACAACCATACGAAGCTTGTCACCCAGATCCTGCAGCTCTTGGATTTGTGCAAAAGTTCCGAGATTGTACACATCATCCAAATTATGGATCAGCTCCTCTTCGCCATCTGATTTCTTAAGAAAGACGCCCACATATGGTTGATTTAGTTTGACCTTACGGCGAAGCAGATCCATGATGACGGGATTGGAAACCTAGAAATATTTAACTTTCATTAACAAACCAGTTTACTGGAATTTTATTATAAGTATATCGATTTTAAGTTCTAAAACTATTTATTAAAGTGGGAAACCAACTTAATTGACTATTAAGGAGAATTAAAATTTAAATAGTTATAGATTTAAAGTGCACGATATTTAACATCAACAAGACTTAATGTGTTTCTTAACATTTTCGGCGTATACACTATATACTTTATCTAATATTGGCTCAGATACTGATAACAAAAACTTTCGTTATGCTCATTCATTAACTCTAAGTAACTGATGAAATTTATTGATACTCTGTCGCACTATTTCCAAAAGGTTGTACCTAAACACAACATTTTACAATAAAAATTACCTAATTAATAATGTACGATTGAATAAGAAATAATTACTTAAATAACATTACCTCCACAATCTTCATGAAACGCGGAAAGAGAGGATTCTTTCGCATGGCCAGCAACGGGACATGTGGCCACACATCCGGCACCGCTACAGTGGCCGGCAGCTGGGAATCCCTATCGGACATCAGCTCGGGACCTTGACCTTCCGACATCAGATCCTCGTCGGAGTCGTCTCGCTTACGGCTGTAAAAGCGCTGTAACATTAAATTGGCTCCGTTACCTCGCTGGAGACGCGTTGACCGATCCCGGCAATATTGCATCAGAGAACTCTGGGCGGATCGATTTCGGGTCCACAACGATGTCGAGGCGATGCCTCTCATCAGAGGACGCACTCGGATAGCGCGGGCTAGCATCTTGATGACAATTCCCAATCGCAATTTACTTAGAAATATCTAGAAATGGTATAAAAACAATTTGCAGTCCTAGTGTGTGAGGAGTGATTATGTGACGGCTGGCGAAATGAAATGACAGCGGCTGTCAGTGTTGCAAAACGAATGCAGTTAATGCTGCACAGTGGAACATTCATTAACTTTCAAGCCCTATAAAAAAATTATGTTTGAATATTACTAAAAACTAATCAAAATTATTTGCTAAATGTAAAAAACAAACTGAAGTGATTTATTTCCTTCAAAACCTTTCCATTTGAAAATGTTGTTTAATTAACCAAAGTTAGCTTTGAAATTAAATTTTTCTATTCTAATCCAATTCTCTTAAACACATTCATTTGATTATAGCTGTTAATAGTTAACTTTCTAACGCGGTAAGGTTCTATTTAAAAATTACCAAAGTCTAGTATTTGTAAGCCCACTTTAAATTAGTGTTGATAACCGGCGAAAAATAAACGGAGGGCAGGAAGAAGCATCGGAGGTTTTAGAAAACTATATTTTATTGCATTTAATCATGGTTTCCCGATTTGACCAACAGAAGACCAAGCACCAGCTCTTCCATGTGTCCCTCAGTCTGGCTACCATCCTGATCTGCATGGCGTATATGCAGTATCGCCGGAATTGGGCACATCTTGGCAGCTTCTGGGACTCCTTAGTGGTGCCAATCGTCTTTATCGGTGAGCTGCTAAAAGTTATATTGGCCCGATTCTACGAAAGGGTTGAGCATTGTTCCCTGACTGTCAAACAGCGCCAGAAAAAGGCCTCGTACTTTACTGCCAGGGAGATCCTCGGGGGATTCACCGTTCAGTTTCTTTGCACTCTGCTCTACGCGTTTATATGCATCATTTTGGGAGCCCCGGTTCTGGGCAACTACGAGGAGACCTTCGTCCTGGCTTTACTGATGACCCTATTGACGGTGTCACCGACTGTTTTCCTCTTGGGGGGCGGCGGAGCCCTTCAAGTATGCTTCTGCGAGAGGCCAGAATTTGTGACGAAGTGCGAGGACACTGCGCTAAATCTGTTTAAGTACAATGCACTGGGCGGAATCCTGGGCGCTTGGGCCGGAAGTGTGGTGGCTCCTCTGGACTGGGGACGCGACTGGCAGGCTTATCCCATTCCAAATATCATTGGCGCCCTCTTGGGCAGCGCTCTGGGCAATATATATGCATGTACGCACGTCCTCTATGCCACGGCACGTGTTTACATGACCAAGAAACGCACTTAAGCCTACCAAAAAAGCTATTAATCCTGCCACCAAGATTATTACGTTGCGCTGCCACTGAATTCCACAAACTCATTTATTAAGAACCACGTCATCATCTCGTCTAGTCAGCAGCTTAGGAACTACCAAAAAGCAATTAACACTTTAATGTTACATGTTTAAGCATTTTAGTAGAGTGTAATACTAAAGAATTCTTTTTCTAAATCAATCAATTAATAAACTAACAAATTATAAATTTAATCACGAGCGTTAAGAAGCACTTTAAAGAACTTAGTCCAGTCTATTATATGCTAAGTGGGTAAATATAAGATTTCGCAACGATGAAATGTGTATGTATGCCCTTTTATTTTTAAAACCGAACCTTAAGGATTGCAGATTAAATGATTTATTTAGGGGTTTAAGAATACATGGATCAGTGAGAAAATAACGTGCCTTTAGTTTGCGAGTTCTCGATTTTGTTCAGGATGGTATCTGATCAAGGACCAATCAATTTGATTCATTTTAGAATCTTCAACTTAATGAAAATATTTTAAAACAGAATACAAGCTTTAAGCTTTGACTGCCATCACAAAGCTCTCATCTTCCAAAAGACATCGTTGGCCTACATAGTTGTCGTTGGGCTCCCAGTAGTCCTCTTCATCAGCATCAGCCAAGGGCTGCCATGCCTCTTCATTTTTAACCGCACTGTCAGGAAGTGTGAATTCTCGTCGATTAGAGTCGTCAGCAGATTGCCGTCTCCGTACAAAAGTCCCTATTGGCGCCGCCGGACAATGCCCAGTTTCAAAAAGTTTATATAGCTTAATAAAGTGCAAGCCACAGGCCAGGCGTTGTCCCTCCTCCCTGGCCACCAGGGCACTCCAACTTAGAGCCAGAGTAGCATGTGGAATATAGTCAGCGATGCTTGCGTTAAACTCCTCCGTAGAGATATTGGTATTGAAATACACCGTCTCCTCGTTAGTAAGGAAGCTGTGCCGTTCTTGTATCGTGGGCATGTGCTGCTCCACTTGCTGGGCGTGGTGGGCAGGCAGGATCTTTAAATGAGATAGTCGCGATTGTAGCAAGGTTTTGATCGATGGAATGTCTTGGAATTCTTCTTTTTTCTCCTTCTCCTGCAGGCGACACTGAAAATTGCAGCATATGGAAGACTTGAGGCACTGAGGTCCCGCCTGTCCCTTGCTGACTCCCATATTGTTCATTACTATAAAAAAATAGAACTAAATTACATGCCAGTTTACCGTAGGGATTTTAGAGAAAGAACAAAATGAAGTACCAATGTAAATAAATCTTTTAAAATTGTGTAAGACTGCTAAGAAAAATAAATATGTTTTAACTTACTGTATAACTTATCCGGATTCAAATTAAATTCCTTGGAGTACAAGGAAATCGAGTTGACATATACCTCCGTATCTTCAACCGCATGTTGGTTCCTAACGTTCACATCTAGACCAAGTTCATTGGTCACCGCGTTACTAACCACACAAGTAGAGTCTGCCTGCAGGCAACTTTCTACCTGTAGCTGCCAAATATGGCGAACCAAGCGATATTTTATGGGTGAATTCGATGCGGATGGCAAGGAGTAGTAGAATAGCAGGCGTAATGTAAACGGGCCTGCTTGGTGTGGAGCCTGCACCCACATGGAAATTGTTTGAACCTGCTGGGCATCTAAGGCAGCCTGCCCGGGGTGGTTAAGTAGGCGGTAAACTCGCTGTCCACGGATTTCCTTATCCTTTACGAGTTTGTCATTGGATAGATTACGGAGGGCTACGATAATAATGCGATAAATAAATCAATATGCATGAGTTCTAGTTAAATATTAATACTTACAACTCATCATAGTCAGTGGCATTTGACTGTGTTGATCAAGGAGGGACAAGCATCGCGGATTATCGCATCCCAAGTAAATTTCCTCAATCGGAGAAATTCCCAGATTTCGAAGAGTCACATAAACTGGTATAATTTCACCAGCTAAAAGTCGACTGGGAACAGGAGTAAAACTTACATTCATGGCGGGCATTTGTGGAAACAATTTAATAGTTAATCTATTGTCCAAAACAGTCTGCGAGGATTGCTTGGAATTGTTAGGTCTGATCTTTTGCGCCTCGAACTGTAAGGTACCTAGAAGGCTAGCTGAAGGATCCACACCGGCAGCTACCCGACAAACAACTCCCAGAACAGTCAGACGTCCGGTCAACTTGGGAGTCAGTTTAAATTGCAAAGTTTCCTCAGCCTGTTCGGCCAGATTGATAGTTGCCACGCAACTTGTTTTAACTGCTGCTCTTACAGCTATTTTGCTAGCACTATCAGATGATTCCTCATAAATACAAGCATTTGACAGCACCTCTTGATTATCCAGAGTCAGTTTCCATAGTAAATCGATTTCGGAGAGAGCTATCCCACAACGAACGCTATTGGAGAGGGTAACAGCCAGCTCGATGGGTTCCCCCTGCACTGCAACTGGAGTTTCCATTGCAGGCTGCTGCTTGGTGAACAGATATCTTGAGGGTTTAAACACGAATGGCTTATTATTGGCAGCCGTTATCACTAACATCTCTTCAATCTTGTTCCAAATTGACTCATCTGCTGTGAGATTGGAATTAATGTTTATGTTGGTGGCCGGCACCTGGGGCGCTACGGCCGATGGTGATTGCACTAAAGTTAGAACACGAACGGAAGATTGCACTACTTGAGGTAAGGCATGTGGTAGTAATCCAAGTTCAGGACTTCGCTTCAGGAGTTCCTGAAATAATAAAATTAGGTAATTAAATAAATAAATTAAATAAAAAATTGTATTTTAAAATCAGCTTACATTCTGCGTCTGAATGTACTCTTTCAGAAAACTGGTCTGTTGCTGCGCACTTTGAAGACTTCCAGGTCTCAGTAAATGGGCGAATGACCGACTGGCCTCCTCAAGTTGCTTTAGCATGTAAGCCTGTTTAGCCACTGTATACTGAATGTGGTCTTCGGCCAAGCTCCACTCGCGCTTCTGGAAGACCTGGTACGCTTGACGATAGCAACGGTATGCATGCTTTCTTTGACCAGCTCGAGAATAACGATTTCCGGCCAACACAATATGAAAGGCATATTTCCGGTGCATTGGAGGTTGAGTCACCAAGAAACAATAGGCTGCCTGTTCCAGCAAAAGAGCTGAACGAAGATCAGACTCCTCATTGGTCATGCGAATCAATTGCTTAGCCACTTCGCTATATAATCGTGCTGTTTTCAGACACTCCATGCTCAAGAGCGTTGCTCTAGTGGCAAATTGCTGCAATCTATAATAAAAAAAACTATCGGAATTTGCTCTCAAAGAAATATTATAAATAACATACTTGCACACTGTGAGATAACAAACAATCGCGTCTTCCATATAATCATAGGTCTTCCTTTGGGCAGTACCCAACATAAAGGCAGAAAGGGCAGCCATTTCCAATGCCCCCGCGTAGTATTGCCAGGCTGAGTCTGCATTAAAATCTCGTTTTGCCTGATGGTAGGCTTGAAATGCCAAATTATAATGGCCAAACATAAAATAGAGATCGCCCAACTTTCGAGTTTGCAGCTCTGCAGATTCGTTGGTATAGCTATGAAAGTAAAGTGATGATATTAGTCAACCACAGCAAACGACATTCTTACATGACTGCATTTTGATTGTTTGCTCCTGCTCCCGGCTTGCTGGTAACAAACCACCTTTTAGTGGCGCTTAACAGAGATTTGCTGACACCCTTTTTGTTGGTCACTCCCTCGGCAAGTATGGCCACCAGATGCTCAATATAGGGTATTAGCGCACGTACAGCATAGTCCTGAACAAAGTGTCGCAGATTGTCAATGTCCCTATTTGTCAAGCATCCGCCATGTGGAGCATCGGCCTCCAATTCATTCGCCCACACATTCGGATTTATAGTTTGAGAAGCAATACTTTCGCTACTAATGCTGAATTTCGAGTTAATCGCCTCCGTCGCACTCTCCTGCATGGGACTCAGAGGGTGCATCATGGCCAGATCGGAATCCTGAACATTGACACCTTCCAGAAGCTGTGACATCTGCATCGCAGGCATACTGATGACAGAAACCGCTTCTTGTGGCGACTTTGGTGCACTTAGATCCGTCGAGGGCAGATTTGCATCGCTTTTCGGTTGCCTTTTGATAAATGTTGTCCAGTGATCTGGAACCTCTGCTGCACTTTGACCATCCAGAGAGTTGATGGAAACCAGAAAACACTTGCTATCTCCGAAAGTGGACTTGAGCAGTTCGAATCCCTGTTGCGCCTTTGACAAATCCCCCTGGCTAGCCTCGTGTAGCACCACGTAGCTATTAAGTACCTCAGTGGGATGGAACCACTTGGGCAACTTCTGTGGCGTGATACTCTGCATCTGTTGCACACGTTGTCCCAGTTTATGGGCTGTTTCCACGATCTGGGTATCCGCGCTGGACAGGACCAGCAAGCAGCTCAGTAGATGGCGGGTGAACTCGTGATCCGCCGGGAATTGTACAGTCAAAAAGGTCTCACGCCATTGTTCGAACCACGGTTCTGATGTGGGCAGCTCGAGGTCTATGTCAGCTGAAAGAGGGTGGTAAGATGGGTTAGCGAAATGTATTTCCCTGTTAATAGACACCTTACCAATGGTGGCCAGTCTGGTTTTCTCATTGTTGGCATTTGTCACAGACTCATTAAGCATTTTTCTGGCCAAAACTGTTTGGGGCGGTCGCCAGTCCACATCACAGAAATTAAGGCGGAGTCCACGAACGGATACACTCGTCCCAGAAACGTCGCGAAAATGTGCTGAAATATAATAAAAAATTCGTTCAGCTTTTACATCTTAAATTAATTTTAATAAAGAATTACATAAATAATTAAGATGAGTTACCAAAACAAACTGAAAATCAGCAAAACATGTCTAATTCCACAAAAATGTTATTTTGTGGCTTTTATTGGATTTGTTGGCCAATACTGGGCAAACAGAGTATCAGCCACCGCGCAAATGTGTGTGTTGTTCTGCAACAGCAGAAGATAACACTCTCGGATGTAGAAAAAAATACATTAACAAAAATATTCAAAGCCAAATATTGGATAACCGAGACAAATGGGTAATGGAATTCTATCACATGTGTCCTATTGTTTTGACCCCATCTGTGAATTGTTTACCGCACTCGTACATACCCCATTCCACATCCCAATTCACTCACCATCGTTTGGCAACTTTGCGAACGGTTGCAGAAGCTCCACGAAGGATAAATTGTTTCGGTGGCAGATCTCGTCAGCCTGAGGACTGGACAGCACGCCGATCAGCGGCGAGAAGATGTTCCGGATTATGTCGCGCGCATTGTAGTTCTGGCCCGTCAGGTGCAGCATTACTTCAACTATTTACAAAGAAAACCCAGAACACCACGAATTGGGGGAGCAACTAAAGCTGGTACTAAGATCGAAAATGTATCGATACTATCTATGCGGCAAGCTATTGGCTGTGCAAAAAATCGAATGTTATACCCGTTTGAAAAATGTAACTGGGAAAATGAATTTCAATATTATTTCAGTCTCAAGAAATTAAAAATATATGTTGAAGAAATCAAAAATAATTTTTAAAACCACTTATGGAATATTTTTATTATAGTTTTAGTTTGAATATGGGTCTTGGTTCCATTTAGAACATTCAGAAAGTTCCACAAAGTATATATTTTAAATTTATTAAATTATATATATCAATATAAGCACAGATCAAATTTATTAAAATTATTTTAAAGTTTACCATCAATAAACTATCGCCATCGACTACCGCTGCATTTTGACATTCCGTCACTTTTCGTTGTGAAATTTTCACCACTAAGACGGTCACACTGAAGCGCGGGAAAGCCGTCAGCTGTCATCACAGATTTTGCGAGCAAAGAAAGCGAAGAAATTCCGATAAATAAAAGAAGAATAAAGCCTTGAAAGTAGACGAATCTTAGTCAAATTATTACAAACCTAATCATTTAATATTGTACAACGAACTACAACTGTTAGTAGAGTGTTTAGCAGGTGTATTTCATCAAAGCACGTAAGTCCTGCTCGCAACAGAAGTAGAACCAGCGGAAAAAAGCGCGCCGTCGTAGGCGTCAGGAAAAACTCGATCTTGTATATTTTCCAATCCGCGAAGTACAGTCATGGCCAAGGTGCACATCACCAATGTGGTGGTGCTGGACAATCCGAGCAGCTTCTTCAATCCCTTCCAGTTTGAGCTGACGTTCGAGTGTATCGAGGAGCTGAAGGAGGACCTGGAGTGGAAGATGATCTACGTAGGCTCTGCGGAGTCTGAGGAGCATGACCAGGTGCTTGACACAATTTATGTGGGTCCGGTGCCAGAGGGACGACACATCTTTGTTTTCCAGGCGGATCCTCCAGATGTCAGCAAAATACCGGAACCTGATGCAGTGGGCGTCACCATTGTCTTGCTCACCTGCTCCTATCGTGGCCAAGAGTTTGTCCGCGTGGGCTACTACGTAAACAACGACTATGCAGATCCGGAGATGCGCGAGAATCCGCCCCCGAAGCCATTATTTGACAAACTGACGCGCAACATCCTGGCCAGCAAGCCGCGTGTCACCCGCTTCAAGATCAACTGGGACTACGGCCACATCAACGGGAACGGGAACAGCCATGATGACGAAATGGTAACAGATGGACCGTCCACATCGGAGGTGGCATCTGTTGTCGTTGCCCATCCGGAAGACGACAACAGTCTGGCCATGCCCATCGAAAATGGGATCAAAGCCCTGAACGAGAACTCAAACTCATTGGCCATGGAATGTTGAGAGCTGCCGGCAGTCCAAACTATGACCACACCTATACACACAGCCTCTCACTCACACAAACACACGCTGCTATGGTCGACGACTTGGCAGAATCCCCGATTCAGACACACGTAGTACTCCTCGTCCCCTTATTTAAGTAACTAATTATAAAAGGAAACAAATAAATATATATGTATACATTAAATTAATTTTTAAACTGTGAGTTTTCTTTGTTATCTTTGAATAGTTATTTACCTTTAATAAATCTTAATAAGATGATTGCCTTTATTGACGCTTTCCAAAAGTACAGTTTATTGTGGTCAGAAACATTGTTAACCTGTACCTAAAATTTCCCAAACCAAAAGTTGAATTTCATTTAAAATATCGATGTCTGAAGATTCGAACATTTTTGGCAGCAAATGAAAGGCTAGAGAAGATATGTATGTATGTACAACTTAGCATTACATACATATGTAGATATGAATTCTATCCAAAGTTTCTTAGAATTTCTATAAATATGTAGGCGGTTTGAATTCAACTCAATGTTGTTAGAGGGAAATTATGTAACACCTCGGACTATTCGACATTTTGGTTGAATGGTAAAAGTATTATATAAACCGAATAAAAACATTTAACTTATTTCGTCAAATAATTAAAACCGGTGCCGATAATTCCCTTAACCATTTAAATAAGTCTTTCGAGATGCGATCATTATTCCCAAATACATTAATTATACACTATCCTATTATATATTATCCTCACTATCACTACCACTAAATGTAAAATGATTTCCTTCAAAATAAAGTAGGTATCAGTTCATCCTTTCTGGAATATTCATTTAAAATTCTAGTAAAACGAAAACTGAAAAAAGTGGAAAATTAGTTTTGTACTAAATTCGATTTTAAGACATCCCAGGATGCCGATCAGTCAACAGGAACCGCACCGTTTGGCCAGCACGCCAAGTTGTTGTCCTGTGTTCTCGAAGAGTCACACGAGCAACACGTGGGTATTACTCTGAAATTGGGCGGTTCTCGAAAACTGATCCATGTTCCTGATTGCCCCTAGATATCATAGCTACACTGATCTGGATCTGAAACGATCTTCCAGGGACGAGCTTAGCTGCGATCACTGGCAGTTCTGTGAGAAAGTTCCCAATCGCTCTGAAGTGGAGGCTGACTCCTTAGGCAGTACTGTGGGTCTCGTCTGCTCGAATACTACCTTGAATAATCCCTGCGGAAGTTCTCCGATGCAGCAGGTGGCGAATGCCGTAAATTTCGCCACCTATCTGAAGGCTTTTGCCTTAATATATGTTCTGCCGGAAGTGGATTGGACTGAAGAGAAGATAGACATGTTACTAGCCGAGGGCAGTGACTTATTCCGAGCTAGCTCAAAAATAGAACAAGGAGAGGCTAACGGAGAGGAAAACAAGTTGATCGGGCCGGAAATTTACACCGACGAGGAAAAGAGAATAAAGAGGAATTTTAATCTTGAAGGACACGCGTTTACTTTGGCTCTGGAACCTCGTTATGGGGGGGTTGGAACGAAACCCAACGAGCAGCAACCCCCGCATACCATCAATAATTTAAGAGCCGTCCTGCAGAATTTCTTCAAGTCCAGTCGGTACTGCCTCCTTTTGACCCGAGTTGGCCACCTACTCATCTGGCGGCGCAGAAAAGTTTTCTTTGTCTTGGATGTAAAGGGAAGAAACAAGGATGACCTGGTGGCGGTCAAGAATAACGGTGTGGCCATGCTTGTTTGCTTGAAAACCTTGGACAATGTTGTCCATCTGGCGAGCAACTTGAGTGACATTTCTCCCAAAGATGAGTTCTGCATTCGAGAACTGGTGGTTGTGCGTTTGGAGACACCCGATGGGCGCATTTACATGCGCGACACTAAGCACCGATCCATCGATTTCAAGGTTGTAAACAAAAGCTATGCCTATCTAAAGGCCACTCTCCATCTCTCGCTGAACCACAATGTACCGGTAAGGAATCGCAGCAGCTTGATGGTGGCCGTTGGCTCAATCCTGGCCAGCAAAATCGATCATCCTGCCAATTGGGACATCAATATGTTGGATCGTTTAATCAGCTATGGAGTGGAGCTATGCCGCAGTTGCTGGTCAGATTGTTTGAGGGATCGACGCCCCATTGATCTGGACACATTTCCCACACAACTTCGAATGGGACAATATGTGCTTGAACTGAAGCTGATCCCGAATGTGAGGGCAGGGCACTGGAAATGTGGCGTCCGAATCGCTGGAACAGACTTTGAAGCCCACATCTCGGAGGCTCTCAAGGAGTTTCGGAACTTGGTGTTTCAGATCAACAACCAGATGTATGCTATCTGGATCAAAGATGGCTTCTACTACCTCCTCGATCCCTACAGACACACTATTTTGGGCACCCATGTTATGGAGGACAAGGCCGAAGGCTCTAAGTGGGCCACGGTGCGCATGTTCAGCGATCAGCTGACCATGCTCAGTGTGTTCCACCAGTTGCTGAGGGAGTCCAACAGACAGTCGGCCTACTATCTGCACGTGGTGCGTATTCGTAATCTTGCCGAATGTCCAGAGGGATTTGCCTTGGCTCCACTGCCTGAGGGAGTGGAAAACTACGACGTGAAGTCCTTGAACGAGCCCATCCTGTTTAATGAACAGCAAGGAGTGGGTGTCTGCGATAAATCTCTGGCGAATATTAGCGACTACGAGGATGATATAATTAGCCGCACGGAGGCTGAACTCGACATTGAGAAATTTCGACTATTCGACGAAGGAGAAAGGGATGTGGAGTGTGAAATGTGCGAGGAGTGTGAGTTCGAGGATGATTCCTTAAAGAGATCGAAATTCAAAATGGCCACTTTGAAAAAGGAGCAGCAGAAGAGAAAATACATTGGAAGCTTCCTTAAACAAAATGATCAGGGGAAGATTGAAATGGAAATCTATGGAATGAATAAAAAATATGAGGGACACACCAGGCCTACATCAAAAAAAGAAATATTCAGAAAGAGTTCTAGACAGACAGGTGGTAGATCAAACAGTCATTCCCCTGTTAAGACCACTCTACCATCTACCTCTAAAGAACAATCACGTCCAAACAGGTCAGGTTCCAAATGTAAAGATGTATCCCCCAGCAGGCTAACGAAAAAATCTGTAAAGCTCCCCAGGGAAACTGGCGGCATGCTGTCCAGCCATTCTCCCGTTAAGCCACCTGTACGATTCAGATCTCAGGAAGTGCTATCTACTGGCAGCAGTATTAAGCAAAACAATTCTCCAGAACGTTCAGGATCTAGAGAAGGGTCTTCTGGAAGAATGGTAAAAAAGGATGTAAAAACCACTCGACAAACTGGAGGCATGTCACCAAGAAATTCTCCTGCGAAGTCCCCCACACGCTCAAAGTCTACAGATCGGTTGCCACCTGGAAGGATTATCAAGAAAAATATAAAATCTCCCAGGGAAATGGGCCGAAGATCTTCCAACAGTTCTCCTTCCAAGTCCCCTGCACGTGCCAAGTCCAGACACAAGACAATTCCTGGAAAGATGGCTGTTCCTTCGCCCAAAGTGGCGAAAGCCAAAGAGGAAATCGTACCAGCTATTGCCCCCAAACGCACCAACGATGCAAGCAGAAAAAACACCATGGACAACCTGGTGGTCAGAAAGACACCAATTGAAATGGACGGAGAGTCTCCATACAAAGCCGTAATGCTCATAACAAAAGCCCCCACAAAAAAGCCCACTCTGAAAGATGCAAAAGATATAGTCTTACCACAGAGTAGTATACTCCAAAAAGCCGTAGCTGGATCCTATGGTCTTGGAGTGGCTCCTGTGGCCACCGCTCACCTAAATACACCCGTTGTCTCGGATTTCGTCCGACAATTAGACGAAGTAGAGACGGCTGATAGGAACCCCACGGAAGATGTTCAAAATGTGGAGGAAACAACTGAACGCCCTATAGAGGGCTCATACGGTGGCGCGGAAAATCATACGGGGGAAAACGACTGCCAAGCCTCACTGCTCAGATTTCCCGGATTTAATCGGGTGCCTCAGCGCTTGGCCGTCGCAGGGTCCGAGAGTGGAACCATGGAGAGCCTTACCAAATTGCTGGGCACCGCTTTCAAGGTGGCCAATCGCGTGCTTACGATGACTCCGTGGGGCAACTACATTGTCTTCAGGCATCGCCACAACCGACCAGACTCGGTGGCCACGTGGTTTTACCTGTTCGATGGCTGCACCTGCGATTTCGATCGCTTTCGATACCTAGATCTCTCATGTGGCACAGCCGGCTTGATCGCCTTTCGGAAACAATCGGAGGTGGTGTGCCACATTATCGATTCGCGGGAGGAAAAGGCCCTACAGATGCTACACAACACCTTGGCGGATCCTCCCCATGAAAGGATGCAAAAGCTGTTGGCTCGATGACACCCGTCTAGATCTACTGTTCAAGTTTTATTTGGATAGAATCAAATCTTGAGTAAACCAAAATTTTGAAGAAACTAAATTCAAAGCAATAGGTTTTTACAAGTTTTCCCAATAAAGACGATCAGACCGAATTCCGTAGCGTTCTTACATATTTTCATTTTATTATTATTGCTAGTTCGTATGAGTCGTTAAAATTAAACTTAATATGGAGTACATTTACATAATGTAGAGAAAAGTCGCGCACGAAGAAACGACATATCTTACGAAGCTAAACATCCAACTAGTGTGTAAATATATAGAATATATATATGTATGTATGTATATAGAATTATATTAAATTTGTATTTCGTTTTGCAGCGTGTGAACGATTTCCAGAAGGGCGAAACGTATTTGACAAAATATATAGTTATCTGCTCTATAAGTTGTCTATAAGGTCTAGAAAGCGCTCCTGGCCTTATCATAGCCGCGGTTAAATCTACCAGTTTGTTATTTCATTTATCCAAAACATATTATCTTTTTTTGTGTTTGCTTTAAGGCACTGAAGCTTGGAATTTTGTGCATGTAGAAAGTAAGATTTTTCGGTTTATCGCTAGTTTCCCGCATAAATGGAAAACTTACATTCGATGCGTCTATAAAACTAAACGTACAATGCACTTCATAAAAGCGCTCTTCTATCAAGATTCTAGCAAATTTTGTTTTATAAAAAATATCCCTGACTATTTTCCCTCTTCCCTTTCATTACTGATTAATGCCTGAGGCCAATTCTATTTCTTGTTGCTTTGTAGTTCGGTTTTTGTGGGAGCGTTTGTTGGATTTCCTTTTGTGTTCTGGTTCAAGCTCTTAATATCAAAACATAAACTATACTTAATGACTTAAACTACATATACAATTGGGGCATTTTTTAAATATATTACAAAGGCAGCTCTCTAAGGACAAGAATAATAGTAATATGAACTAGGAGTAATGCGAAATTATATTTAGCAAAATAGGAAATGCATGTGATACGAGTACGACACGAATTAAGATTGCCCCTAACCCAAAAGGTATATTGGAAATGAAACCTCCGAAACGGTCAACGCTCGGAGAAAATCTTCCACTTACACATGTACATATAAATTAGAGGAGTTACAGATCTGGACATGAACATAGATAATACCATACAATTTGGGGCGATTTCTCGTTGAGTATATAAGAGATAGTTTTTGCTGCGTCACGCGGACAACTCTAGTTTCGGGTTTAGTTTAGGAGTTCTTACTTAGGCTAAATAACGTACAAGGTTAAACCATATTGACGGCACCATCAGCCTCAAAAGTAGGTATGGATATAATATCGCTGCTGCGCACTGCGCCCATTGGCAGAGCTGGGCCCTCAATCGTGGTGTTTGCCGCCCGATTTCCCTGCTCCTCGTCGCTGGAGTCACTTGAATCCTCTTCGGGTTCGCTGTAACTGTTGGTTGAGGTGGGTGTCGCCTGAGTTTTCTTCATATCCGCAATATCGGTATTGCTCTCTAGTGTCGAGTGCTGACTGGAGGGCGAGTGACTGTACTCGGAGGTGTTTTCCTCCTCATCGGAGACAATCACCACATTCCGCTTGTGGATGGCAATCTTCTGAGACAGTGGAGCCTTGTAGCTGCGGCGGGGTCGCATTCCTCGAGCGATGGGTAGCCGTCCAAAGCTTATAAGGGGAAATAGTTTACATTACCTATACTGCCAACAAATATTGAACAAAATCTTCTTCTGCACTTACCTCCTTCTTCTAAGGGCGTATTTGTAGTCTGTGGTTTCGCCTTCCTCATCCGACCAGCTTTCTTGTTCATGGGACTCGCCGTTTGCATTAGAGCTGCCGTTTGGATTATCCCCTAGTGGGTGCTTCCGCCGTTTGCTCTGCGTGCTGCTGCAACGACTCAAGCAAGGACTGTTGGAGTTGTCCCGGAGTTCTACAGGCGAGGCTCCTCCATTGCCATTCTCCGTGTTGCTGTTGGAATTCGTGTTTGACTGAATGGACAGGCGGTTCTCGTTAATGAATTCGATGACTTTGCGGCCCAATCGCTCCAGGTTTTCGTTGTCGCTGCAGCATTCGGTCATGTCCAATCTTTCGTTGCTGTTCATCACATCGTCGATTAGCTGATCGGGGCTAGAGCAGGCATCCTGATAGGTTAACTCGCTGGTACTAAGAGAGTTACCATTCGACGGACTAGCAGGGTTCTGGACGCCAGCAGCGGATGACGTGCTTCCACTTCGAGCCCTCGCCTGTGCTTGAGCAATTTTCTGTACCCTTTGCAGTTGCAGAGGCAGTTGGCGATGATTCGGAACCGGCACATCGATGGGGTGTGATCGCGGAGCCTCTGCGCTTGGACTTATATCTGTTTCACTGACATCCATGGCATCCGTTTGCGTTTGCCTTTCCACGAGCTGCACTTTTCGGTTCTCCGGTTCGCTCTGGTAGCGACGATCTCGCGTAGGACTGTATTTGGGTGGAGCACCAAAGGATCCAGAGCCGTTGCGTCGATGCCGGAAGTTCTTTTTGTTGGGCATGGTTCCGCCAATGCCGCTTCCTGGGATTATGTTGGCGAGATACGATTTGGGCTGGCAATTGCTGTCCAGTTGGGCATATAGGACACACTTCACAGGCGACTGCAAAAGGAAAGAAAATGGTTAACAACCAACATTTACCGCCGTTGCCAATTTTAATTCTGTAAATTCCTCGCCAGTACTTCTTAAACTTAAATCTTAAAATTTTGAGCAATCAGTAATGAATAATGTAATATTAATCTTGTGTTTTATTTAACAAAAGAAACGGATAAACAATGCAGTAAATGCAAATACGTTGTTTTTTCTAACAACAATAAAACGTTGATTTATTGTACAATATCGACTACTTCATTCGTCGAACGGTAAGTGTGTAATTAAAATCAATTAAATTGGTAATAGTCTTTATTTCATACCTCTGGCGTAGTCTCTGGATCTGGCGTAGTTGATTGTTGTTGAATGCCCGCTGGAGGAGCGTTCAGTCGTCGGCGATAGTGTTGCATTTTTCTGAGTGTATTTCCCAAACGACGCGTCGGTTTATAGCCACTACCAGGAAGCTTCCGTTCACGTCTAAGCGTTATGTTAGAGGTTAAATAAATTCAACTTTCTTAAGAGCTACATTGTACTTACTCTGCAATTTCCTTCTCCTTCTCCTGTAACTGGGACATGCACTCGCTGAGCTCGAAGAAGAGTTGGTTTGTCTTCTGCAGCTTATCCTCGTACACCATACGGATATCCTGGGCATGTCGCCACTCTGCCGTACGCCTCTTAATCAGATCCTGCTCATACTTGTGTATGCTAGTGCCATTCTGGGTTATTTCCTTCAGGTGCGAGCGCACCTCCTCCTTCCACGACTTTTGCGTCTCGAAATATTGCTTCTCCGTTTTTCGTAGAAGTTCCGGGCCGGCGATATCCAAATGCGAAAGAATCTGTCGGAAGGAAGGACGATTGGTGTGTTTGCTTTTCCAGCAGAGCTTGACGAGCAGCTTGAATCCCTCCGGACAGGTGCTCGGAACCAACAGCTTAAGTGAGTTATTGCCCACACCCCAGATAATGGCCGATGAGTCCACATCCTTATAGGGTATCTCGCAGGTAAGCATTTCCCAGAGCACGACGCCGTACGACCAGATGTCTACCTTCTCTGAGCACGGTTCATTCCGGATCACCTCCGGTGCCATCCAGGCCACTGTGCCAGCGAAGCTCATCTTGGTGCTGATCTCGTTCCATTCGCGACACGTTCCAAAGTCGCTGATCTTCACCACCTCATTTGTACTAATCAGTATGCTAGATAATAAATACACCAATTAATATTATGATTCTTTGTTGATGTTTTTATCACTAACTTGGGACTCTTTAGATCTCTGTGTATGATCTTGTGGGAATGCAGATACTGCATGCCCAGGGCAATCTGTTTGGACCAAGAAACCAAACGGGACGGCAACATAACTTGCTCCTCCTTCAGAATATTCTGCAAAGGGCCATATGGACAGAACTCCATGATGATGCAAAATACCGGAGATTGTGTGCAAACTCCTCTGCGAAGGTAAACAAATTTTACATTTATTCACTAAATGCCATTAAATAAAAAATATTAAATATTAAAAAAGTTTTTAATGGTGCATATAAACCACGAATTTAATTTGTATTTATACTGATAAAAACGATTCTCAGAATTTATTTTGTCAACATAATTTAGATAAATAAATAAATGTACATTTTAATTTCTGCTGTATTTCGTATACAGTCTAACCTCTTGATGAGTAGTTTTATTAAGCATTTTAATTTATTTTGTTTGCAAAAGATTAGCAAGTGCGAAACAAAAAAGAAAAATTTTAATTTATTTTTGAAGTAAAGAAGAGGCATAATTTGATATTTTATTTGCAATTGTGAAAATAGTATTTTTGAAAACGTCATTTATATTTTATTTTAGTTCATAGATGCATTATATCTTTTATACTCACTTGAATTTAATAATGTTCTCATGATCAAGCTTCCTTAGATGCTTGATGTCCGTTTCCTTAAGTTCCTTTACCTTCTTGACGGCCACAATCTCGTTCTTCAGCTTGCCACTGAAGACCGCTCCCTGTGCCCCGCTTCCAAGCCACTCCAACTCCGTGATAGACTCAAAGGGAATTTGCCAGTCCTCGCTCCGTTGACTCTTCACTTCGATCACACCCGACTTTCCGATGAACGAGAGCACGGGCTTCATGCATCCGAGTAGCCCGTACATCCAGCTGATTGGCTTATCCGGATGCCCAAAAGCTGCTGAAGCTCCTCCCACATGAGGTGGCCACCGCTGTTGGCACGTGTTTTCCGCACTGCTGTCGGTGATCTCCGCATAGTTGTTGTGATGCTGCATCCGGGGCGGAGAGTCTAGATCCGGGGACTTAAAGGGTAGATCTGTGGTGGCGAGACCCAGGTGACCGAACTCATCTTGCAGGCAAGCCATGCTTGGGAAAAATAAGAAAAATATATACTTATAAATAAAAATACTTATAGTTTTATGTACCTGAATAAAAGCTTATATACATTATAAGATTTACAAAATCGGTTTTTAAGAACTCTTAATTTTATTTCAGATTTCTTCTTATAGAAATATGAATGAAACTTTTTCCTAAATAAATTTACAATCATCTATAATTATGCCTGTTCAAAAGTTGAATGAGTATGCGAATTTAAAAGTAAAGTCTGAGTAAAAAACAACTAAAAGGAATTCTATGGTCAAAAAAAATAAAATTATTATTATTTTAATATATAATTTGTAATTATTTAAGTAGTCTTGTCTTTGAGATGTTTTTTGGTGAGTTTCGACTTAACAGACGTAACAGTCACAGAATAGGAGTACGTCACTCCAATTATGAGAGCCGGAAAGGATGATAAAAAAATTTGAATTTTAGTAAAAAGTTCCGGATTCAAAATTGGAAAAGTTCGGAAGAACGTGGCGTAAAGTTGATTCATAGTTAAATAAGTTGTGTTTATTATATAGATTTTTCTAGCTTTTGCAGTTTCAGTGAAATTTTTAGAAGCCTTTTTTGTTCCTGCAAACTATTATCTCTTTTCGTAATTCACTCAACACACAATAATCTTTTTGGCCCAGAAACAATTCCTAACTATTTAATAATAAGAAAATAAGGAACACTATGTTAAAAAAATAAAAAATTACCATTTCGCAGGATTGTCGTGCAATTTTAATATTAAAAATAAGACTACTATAAATATAACATAATAATAACTATCATATTCGAACTCTACCCTTTGAAAATTTCCATACAACAGGGTAAGCCCATCGAAAATTGCTTAGAAGTGGTTTGATTTTCTACACAAAACGAAGGGGGTTTTTTAACAAAAATTATATTTTACAACATGATGGGCGCCATTATTATCAACTACAATTTTTCTTCAGGTTATCTATCCATCCAAACAGTTTGCTATAAAATCGATTTGCTATATCGATGTTTTTGGTAAAGTGATATTAAAATCAAACTACACTCAAACTACAGCATCATCAAAGTCGCAAAAGCCATTTATTGTCAGTAAACCTTTCATATGATAATCAAAGTGCTTTTCGCGATTTCTATGTTTACACACGCCATAATCATCATTTTTCTTGCTGACTAAGAGGAGCACCAAAAGTTGGAACTTTGATAAAGACAAGACCGTGCAAATAAATATTAGAAAAGTGATCGCTCGAATTTCAGTGCTTCTCATATACACATAGTACGTAAAAGAGCCTTCCTGTTGGAATTTGTGTTTGCTTTTTTGTCCGATAAGATAAACATACGCGGGACAATGGACATTGGGAGGGGAGGGGTTGGCGTGCAAAAGCGGCAGCAGGTGAAAAAACATTTATCATTTATCACTGCCAGAATGGCAATAAAAACCACAACAACTCCGAGTAGAAAGTCTGATAGGCGAAATCACCTGCTGTAAACTAACACTTAACACTAACACACTAACACTATGCCTATATATATATATATATATATACCTACATACATATGTATATGTATGAAGCCATCTACCGTTCTTTTCTGATTTTTATTTGGCATTAGTAACTAGAGATGAGCACGTGACTCCATGATTATGCAAATATCGGTAACAGGTTAAAATCTTCATTTCTTAATTATCAATGCAACGAAAATCATATATAAAACTTTGTAAATTTACATTGCTTGAAAGGCATGAAACCAAAGACAAAATCATATCTTTTATACAAATGGATGTAAGATCTTTATCAGAACCACTAGAACGGAGAGTTAGAACGTCAAGTTTCCGTTACCATAAGAGTATATACATATGTACATACATATGTATGTACTTATATTAAGCAAGCTGTTTTTAGTAATATCTGGCATGGATCCCACAAACCGTCACACTCCCAACAAGTAGCTAAACATACGTACATAGATATAGATATAGATATATTCCTAAGCAGCAAAGCAAGATTCTTTTTCAATTACGTTGTTATAAACAAATTTTTCGTAAGTTATCTCGGGAGATTCGATTATCACTTTCAGTAAACTCAATAACCTGATTGTTCGTGTCACGAAGATGGCACATCTACCTGTTGATCATCAGTAACACAAACACAAATAAGAATCTGAGTACCGTTCTTTGCATTGTTTTTGGCAATATATATTCGTCTTGCTTGCACGCGGTTGGCGGCACCCGCAGTGCAAATGTCAAAAACCTTTCGTTTATTTATGAATTTGTGAAAAAGCATTAAATTCCGTCACCAAATATTAATTTGCGAGCCAAGCACGTTTTGACCTTTGGCTTACGGTTCATAGAACGCAGATTTGGCCGCGTCTTCTTATTTCTTTCTTTTGCATAGGTCAGCGGTGAATATGTGAGATTCTGTGACTCAGTGCATCTTGAGATACTTTCGTGGGTGCATGTTTTACCTTTTTTCTTTGGTGATGATCATGTCGGGTGGCTCATTGTGGCTAAAAAATGGTATGGTGTAGACCATGGTTAATTTGTCTTTCTTTTCCTTGTGTTTTTGTTTGCTTTTGTAATTAGTTGTCGCGCACTAAGAATTTCATTCATTCATGCGACGCCGCGACTGCATTAATGCAAAATTTTACGCTCGTTTTTCGACCGACAGCTTTTTTTGTATTTTGTTTACGCACTGAGCCAACAACAAAAGTTGGCTAACTTTTGATTAAAAGTTCGTGCCAAGCACCAACAGCCACCAAAACAACAACAACAAACGGTTTTTGTCGTCCGATGTATAATAATAAAAAAATGACGTCAAGGTAAGTTGGTATGGTTTTTTGTCGTCGTTAATTACAAGAAAAAAGAGGCGTACGAAGCGCGTAACACTTTCGTTGGCGGTTTTTCAAGAGTGTTGGTTATTGGTTTAAGGGGGAAAAGTGTAATAATTTCACGTATTTCGCACAACTGCGTCACACCACCACACAGACAACAATTGCAAACTGATTTGCCGATAAGCAGCACTTTTTGTTATTGTGCATCTCACAAACACACGAACGAAATTTAAGATAGGCTCGCGAAATTCACGCGCAAAGAGCGACCGCCAGAAACGATTGATTTTCGCCAACTAAATCGCAACTCGCGAGCGGGAGCATAGTGGCCAAGCTCCGCATTATCAGTTTTAGCAGCACACACTTAAAAAACATAATCTTAATTGAAATGTGTTGAATTGTTAATTATATTTTTTTTCGCTTATTAATTTAATTAATTATTATGTAATAATTTTTATATTTATTAAAACAAGATCATTATTATTAAAAAAAAACTTTTTTAAACCAATTTGTTTAAGTGTAGGCTTTGGATGGTGCTCTCGCCCGCTCTCTGTTCAACTCCCACTCTGCTCTCATATGCTGTTATCACTCAGCATTGTTGTTGCTAAACTGACCGTATTCCTCATGGCCTGTATCAGATGGCCGGTAATGGAGGTATGCCCTAAGCCATACTGTCTTTTGGTCACACTAAAAACCTGTTTCTATGGCGGGGACCACATGATCGAAACACAAGCGCAGGCGAGTGGTAAGCATGCTGTAGGTGCGAATGCGCGTGTATGAGTGTGCGACTAGGAAGTTTCTCAGCTGCGCCCCCCGCAATCTAAATTCTCCACTTCACTAACAGTGAATACCGCTTAAGACAAAAACAACAGTAGGAGGCGTACAACTCATTTTTAGGGATTTTCCCTAAATTATCGCTTGATAACAATTTCTTAAAATATGTATTTGGGTTAATCATAAAAACATTATTAGAGAAAATAATTTAGAGTTTACAATGATCATAAAACGAATATATGTATATCCTAACTTTAAACTTTAAAAAAATTTCGGATATGTCTCAATTTTTTTATTGAGAATTTATAAAAGTATCTTATTATATTAAGAGTTTTTAGTTTTGTCAATAATGAAAATTAGTTTTAATGATTATATTTACTATAATCTTAAGTTTAATACTTTATAAAACTGGGAGAAATTACAGGAAAAGTATCCATTAGTGTTTTTACGGCCATTGTCTATTGTGCCCACTTTTTATTATTTCACCACAGGATTTTTTTTCAACGTGTTTCTAAACGATATTGTACCGCTTTTTTGGGGTTTTTGCACCAATTTTTTATTAAACCTAACCAGATTGAACAGGGAATTTGTCTAAAGTTTCCTCCATTTTAGGGAAATGGAGTTCTATATCTAGTAGGTTAATTTTTCGTCGAGGTCACTCAATGACAGTTTTAATGGCTGTTGATCATTCAACCTGTTAAATACTTTAATGCATTTTGGTTACTTGAGAATTACATAAATGTTGTTTACAGTGTGCCGTGAAGGTTGATTACCCCGCTTAATTAAGCACGATTTTGCGGAATTCTCTTGAAATATTAATGGAAAATATAAGTTAAATTTATTTCACTGAACCACGTCGTGTATTTTTTAGTTTTTTTGTTTAGCGAATGCTAAATATTTATTTCGGATGTCTATGAAGTTATTTAAATTTAACAAATATTAGTTTCTATTGCCTATGAAGATATCAATCTATCTTTAAAGTTGTATCAAAGTGTTTAATGTGTGTTAATGTAAGTTTTGAAAAAGGATATCTGACTTATTTGTTTTTGCTGTCTATAACTGCTTATTAACTTTCACATCATATTCAGAAAAGCGGGACTCACCTTCTTCTCAGATTGTCCGTTTGATCTAGCGAGAGATTGGGACTGCTGCCATGGTGTCGCCTCCGTCCGTGAAGTTGTTGTTGCTGCCGCGAGGCAGCGGTGGAGACATTGACCAGATCATCTCGACTTTTGCTCAGACTGTCACTGAACGGTTGCATTGTCCAGGATTGTGGAGTGGTATTTTCGGGTGGTTCTATATTCGATCCTTACGACATTCTGGTCAAAACGGGGTTGCTATATTAAGATACCACGAAAATTAATCAATTTCTGTCGTCAGGGGATTCCCTTTTTGTTCACCCACACAAACACACACACGCGCATTAACTTGTAATCTTTTATCAATGAATGGCGAAAATCAATGAGAAGCAAACGACGTCAAACGGCAAAAGGCGCAGGATATATGTACGTGCTGGAGAGCGAACAAGATAGCAGTAGCACCCACGCAAAAAGAAACACTCACACAAGTCTACGAACGAAAGGAGAAAGATCGATTATTGCACTTGCCAATTATTCACTTTGCATTCTGTTTAAATGTTATTTTTCTTTCACTTTCAAACTGCAGGCCGAGCTATTTTTATGATGCCTTTAAATGGCGAATTACACAAAGAATAAGCGCTCAGATACAAGCTCACATACAGGTATTCTTTCTTGTTTGTACACAGAAAAAAAGATCATCTGATTAATATAAAAATAGGTTCAAATCCCACTGCTATATAATGCTATAATTCATTAGACTAAAATATAGTTCTTTTTTTACTTCGAATTACAAATTATAAGTTTATCAAAGGCCATATCATTCATAAAATCATGTTAGATGTCATCCTCTTTTCTTTCTGTGTATAATTCGACTTCTTCGTTGTTCTTTTTATTTTTTTGTATTTAACTTGGCCAAAGCTAGAACATAACAAAAACAACACACTGAAATATTGCCACACACACACACACTAGTGCACTTTTTTCGCTACTGCTGTGCTCTTCTCTCCCACCAAGTCTGGACCTCTCGCTTGCACCCACGGCGGAAGCCTTACAGCGCAGCTTTGTGCTGTTGCTGCTTCTTCTTCATCATCCACTGCTGCCTTTTGCTCGCTCTTTCGCTCTTTTGGCCAAGAAAATCAATATAAAAATTCTTGTATTTGCACATTTTTCACACACTTTGCACACTTTTCCAGCAATTTTCTACGGGAAATTGCATTGATTGCTGTGATTCGTACTTTGATTTGGTTATTGGCGAAGAAGGTTTAATTGATTTTAGCTAGGAATCGAACAATTAAAGACTGGTTTTCTGCTTTTCTTGGGGCTCCGCAGCGTAACGCGTTTATTCCGACCAACCGTCCGCACCAAAGGTAGATATAGATACAAATAAAAAGAAAAAAACTGGCTGCTGGCTTTTGGGCCGAATCCCAATCCGCTCTCTCGTTCTCTCTCTTTTTCGGATTTCCTCCCCTGAAACCAGTTTGGAGCGCAGGTTGCACTGCGCATGTGTGCGGGAGAGAAAGAGCCATGGCCAACCACAAACCAAAAAACAAAAACAACACTGGCAAGGCACTCCGCTCTTGCCTTGTTGTTGCCGCTTGGTATTCCCCTTTTTCTCCCCCTCTTCTTCACTCATGTTGTTAATAAAATTGAAGCTGGCTTAAAAGCTGAAAAAGCTTTGGCTCGCAACATGCACGATCGTGTTTGGTGGCCAAAATTGGTTTTAGATTCAAGCTTTTCCTGAAAAGTGCGGGAAATGATAATGAAAACAATTTATTACTTTACTGCAATTTAATTTCTTTCCTTGCTTGCAACTAAACATCTAAATCTAAATCATCTAAATATTTTCTGTTATCCAATAACTGTTAAAGTTAACATTAAAGTTAAAATATAAATTAAATATATTTACGAATGGTTATCATTATTAATTTTTAGTAATACTAAAGATATTAATATTATACATTTCAATTTTATCGTATTGGGGTCGGTATACGACTTTTTAAGTTGATTCAACAATCAGTCATTTTTAAATATTAAGTGATTAAAACTAAAAGATATGTTATCATTGTAAGAATTTTCTCATATTAAAATGAATATTTTAAAAAACAAAAACAAGTGCACGTTCACTTTTGGCAATTCAAACCTCTCCAAGTACTAATCAATTATACTTTAACTAACTCGTGTAGCATTTTTATACCCGTTACTCGTAGAGTAAAAGTGTATACTAGATTCGTTGAAAATTATGTAACAGGTAGAAGGAAGTGTTTCCGACACTATAAAGTATATATATTCTTGATCAGGATCAATAGCGAAGTCGATTGAGCCATGTCCGTCTGTCCGTCTGTCCGTATGAACGCTGAGATCTCAGGAACTATAAGAGATACAAAACTGAGATTAACTATGAAGATTCTTGAGGTCCCTACGCAGCGCAAGTTTATTACAGCATCCTGCCACGCACACTCAAATCGCAAAAAAAATTGCTGAAATCTCAGGAACTATTGAAGCTAGAAAGTTGAAATTCAGAAAGTATAATCTTTAGATGCCAGCGCATCTTATAGTGGTTCGACTATACGGCCACACCCACCCAAGGCTCAAAAGACGGTTTTCGGATTTTCTAGAAAAGCTAATAACCCGGTAACTATGAGAGATAGAAAGTTCGGATTAAGCATGTAGGTTTTTATGATGCTCCCAATGCGAATTGTTTTTTTCCAATCAAGCCACGCCCACTCTAACGCCCACAAAACCCGAAAAACCAAAAATGCAAAAATCTCGAAAACTATAAAAGCTACAAAATTCTTAGGAATGCGTATTTAAGAGATGCCTCTGTAAGTTGCATCCGGCCACGCCCACTCTAACGCCCACAAACCGCGGAAAACTGTGGCGTCTATAATATTATTATGAATGCCTTCGTTCGATCTTGTGTAACTTATTTCTGTTAATATCTATCGATTTACCTAAGATATTTCAAATCGGAAAAATTTTTCGCTATTTATAAAGAAATTAAGGTTATAATGCTTCACATGGGCAGTGACGTCACTATAAGCATACTCAACATACTTCCTCTGACAATAGGTGGCGCCTTGTGAATTTCCACTAGCAAAATAATATTTAAAAATTTTCTAAAACAGTAACGGGTATCTTATAGTCGCGGCACTCGACTATAGCGTTTCCTCTTGTTTTTATTGTTTTACAGATTAAAAAATACATATTAGGTAAAAAGTTTTAAGAAATTACTTAGCGGGCTTAAAAGGAAACACATGGTAGTTTAATCATAACTGAGGTCATTTAATCATGGCACTTGTCAGCCCTTTTGTGATATTTAGAAAGCTTTAGTTCTGCATGTGCTAGCTTATCGACATTGAGCTGAGCTTGATTTAATAATAGGAATGTATTTTTGTTTAACTAAAACGAAACCGGATAAGGAGGCTTAAAATAATGGTTTTCGTTTTCATGGGGAAATAATAATATTTAATTTATGATCTGAGTTTTCAAATTTGTTTGAAAATATTTTTCAAAAACGAACTTAAGTATTAAAAAATTCAGCGTATAACTGCAGCTGACTCTCGCTTTGTATATAACTTGTATGATTAAGAGATTAAAATAATTAAATATTCTCGTTATTTCTTTAATTGTTAGGCGTAAAAACTACAAATTATAGTTGATAAGAGTCGGTAGGTCAGAAAGTGTAGTCATAGAACTCGGCATGTCACCAAAGAATTTTTATCAAGATCAAAGCTGTGAAAACAGCGACTCTGGATATGTGTCGATTCCCATTTTCCCTCTTCCCCCTACGTTTGCACAACAGGTAGAACCAGAAAATAAAAAAATAATGCAGCAGGTAGCATAATTTCTACATAAACAGAGATGACTCATACCCACCGAGGAGGAGGAGGGAATTCTTTGGAGACCACGAATGGAGCTCCCATACAGGGGAAGATATAATATTGATGACTCGTTTCTTTAATTTTATATTTATATAAATATTATTTTTCCGTCACAGATATTCGAAGGGTATTGAAATGAAATTATAAATACAACTATTTTATACATGAATTGAAGTATATCGAAAGATAATCATTTGTATTTTTATGAGTAGTAAAAATTCTGCATTAGTAATATTTTATTTCAGATAATAATAACAAAAGTGTTCAATAATTGTTTCTTTTTCTCTCAGTGCACTTCTTACAAAACACACAATCCGCTTTTCTCTTGTTAGAGCAACCTTTTCCCCCCTCACTCTATTTTCCAATACTTTTTTGTTTGTTCTGTCCAATAAATTGTTATGCTGCCTGCGTGCTTCTCAGGCGTTTTCTTTTGGTCCATTGCGCATGAGTCATTGGGTTTCTGGTCCCAGAGTCCAGTTCCAGGTCCAGGTTGCAGGTTCAAGACCCGTCAATCAGTGCCACACAAGAAAGGGCAGGGGTATATCATTTCATCGGATAAGGCGGCTTTAACACGTACAAGTTAAGGGTGGATCAATGATCCTTATTAAGATAAATGTCTTTTCGAAATTGTTGTTCTTACCAAAATAGTGTGGAAATACAAAATTAAAATGATACTACATATTTTCTTTTAAAGATATGAATCTGGTATAAAGGAAATTTTAACGATTGTATGATCAGAGGTTATTCTCATCGAAGAAAACTGTTTACGGTATTTATTTTGTAGAACATCTTTTGAACTTTAACAAACTAAATCTTAAATATATATAGACTTTTATTACTGTTCAGATCGTATGGAATTTTACACATAGAGTATATGTAATAATAAAAAGGATTGTTTATCACGGCTCATTTTAGCTAAGGTATTGCGACGATTGCATTTAAATAAGAATGCTTAGAACTACAAATTTCTATAAAAATTAATTTACCTACTTGAGTTCAGTAGTCCTCTAATATTTCGAAATCATTCAATAATGTAATGTCTTAGGCGTGCCGATTCTTTGTTATCATGTTATATAGTCAATCAAATTTGATACTCCCTAAGGCATTGTATGAAAAAAAAACGATCACCTGTAGTATGCTAAAATAATAAAACAGTTCCCATTATCCAAAAAATAGTACCACGAACAACATATATCACCAATGTTTGTTGAAATAAAATATATATAAGTTTATTACCTGCTTTGGCAAGTGATCATTTGTGATTTTGTTTATTGCCAAACTTAATTTTATGTCTTAGGATCTAATCTATGACAAATGGGTAATCTTGCACAGGAGCTAGATCTGTAATCAACATATATCGGATTCAGCAAAAATCTATTCATTAACATATTGTATCAACTAAGTTGTAAATGCTTAATTCATTAATTAAATGTAAGTTTATTAAATGTCAGGCAACGCTACGTTTATGTGCTGTTAATTAGAGTTGCCCTTATCAGTGCTGTTAAAGATACCGGAGCGAGTGCTGTTCAAAAAATGTTGCTTGGCACATTTGGTTTTGATTTAAGTCTTGAAAAGCTAAATGATTATTAAGTACGAATCGTTTGTTTACAACTGCCACCATTAAATTAGGAAATGATATCGAAAATGCAGAATATCTTAAGTATGGACCGCAAATGATACTAATCAAAGCCATTTAATTCTTTGTCAGTTATGCGAAAGGAAAAGTTATCAAAGATCAAAGGTAAAAGAAATGCAAGGATGATTTTCGAAATGAGTTTAGCGGATGGTTGGATCTCCAGGTGAGAGTATTAGGTATAATTCAAAAATTGTTGTTGATATTACCGGGAGGGGTTTTTTCGAGGTCGGGAGTCGGGTTCAGTAGAGCTTTAGGTAAATCGTAGATATTAGGGAAGCAACGAATAAGCACTTCGCTGTTAGAAGTAATGGCGGAGTACATATCGAAAACGAATCTATAAATAGTAGTCACAAAATTGAGATTATTAAATCAGGGGTATATTATTTTTAGCACGTAATATACATAGGGCTTCGGTTAGTCATTTTTAGCCTGACTAACAATTGTCTTCTAAATACTTCTATTACAGTAACTTACACAATACAAATATCAATATATTTAACTGTCACAGAACTGTTTTTGCTTAACGCACTTAACGGCGACTTAATAATTAATACTGGATCTCATTCCCCTGACTACAGCGCGCTTCGAAAACATAAAGAAATAACTTTGGTTCAAAAACAAAGAATCTTTTAAAAGGGAGCTTGAATATGAATTCAGACTTTTATATTGTAGTCAAATTTAAGAAACGCACTGAATATCAATTAAGTAAATGGGAACTTCCTCCTAATTGACCTCCCAAGGATCGCACCCAAGTAAATCCCAATTCACAAATATTGTCGTTTTCACACTACTCTTTCTTGGTGGTTGAATTTACTTTTGCTAGCTTTCAAAAAGGACATTAATTATCTGGATCTGCTTTCTAGAACTCTTGAATATATATATATTGTTTAGATATTATGTACAGCGGCACACTGCAAGTTTATATTCGTATGTGTTATGGAAATGTGTATTTTTGTACACCTTCTAAAAACAATACCAGATTTCCGAAACAGTGTCTTTCAAAATCTACAACTGTCTGTTCTATCTCAGGCTAAGAACACAATTCTTTTGCTTCCAAGTTAAGATTCTTGAGATAAGTTGAATATCATATGTTATAGATTACATCTTTTTATTTTTGATATAACCTTTGAGGGTTAGTATCTGAGTTATAGAGTTAAGGAATATGTGTTTTTTTTACCCTGTAGACATTCTGTTCTGTTTCTATCCTGTTCCAACGCCCATCGCATGGAGCCTATCGATATATATGTTAGTTGATATATTCTCAGGTACGCGCTGCATTTCTCTAGTTAACATTCCCCTTTCCGTTTAGTGAAATCTGCTAAAAGGAACATTGATATTTTCCTTAAGTGTATGGGCTAGGCTAGCTATGTAGTAAACATTCTGAAGAGTGGGCTACTTCTAGAATCCCTGTTGATTATCGCCGGACTGTGGCTGCTCGCCCGCCTCCAGCTGATCCCGTTCCCCCACCTCCTGATTCTCGTCATTGTCCTCCTCATCACTCGAGTCCACATAGTTTCGCATTGTTAGCGCCTGGAAGTCGTTCAAGGCCTGCTCGAAGAGATCGATTGTGTGCTGATTATGGGCAATAACCTGTTGGGTGTTCCTCAGGTCCCGCCTGATCAGATCCTGCATGGAACTAGGGGCAGGTGAGGAGGCAGGCGAGCGTCCTGTTTCTTGTGGATTTGTGGAGTTGGTTTGCTCACCGCTGCTGCTGGGATCGTCGCTGATGTTACTAGCTGCCAGTCCCCTTGTAAGTTCGTCTGCATGGGCTAGTGTAGATCCAATTATATCGCTGGCGATCCTTATTGCCGCATCCGTCGCTGCTATTGTGGATATGAAACTGGAGGCTGCTGCCGCAACGGTAGCTTGGTTGGCTGTGCTGGTTGGTCTGCTGAAGATGGTGTCGCTGGTCACCTGGTTGCCCTCGATCCTCAGACCAGCTACCCCTTTTTTGGGTATGGTGGCCAGATCCCGTTTGACTCTTCGGCAGCGAGTGGGTTCGTTTTGACGCTGTTGGACCAGTTGCTCCAAATCCACAATGTAGACGTAGCCGGCCACGAGGATGGTGCATGACTTTTCGCCCTTCTTGAAGGCTTCTTCGATGTCCTGACTTGTGCGGTCATCATATTGCCACCAACCTGAAGTTAAATATTTTTACAAGAAAAATTCTTGGATTCTGCCTAGGATATATTATTGGAAAGTGGGATGGGGAATGGATTTGGTATTAGATGGGTGATCTCATCAAGGTTTATATGTATCTGTGCCTGATAAGCCCAGCGATGCCTTTAGATCCGCCTGGAACATCAGTTGATCTGCATCGCAAAATGTTGCGATGCTTTCCTGGGTTTGATTGCGGATACTGCTTCATCCGAATAAAATCGATTATATACATAATGCCGCAGATTTGTGTATCCAGCCTGCTAGGATGCGGTTCAAAGTTATTTAGATCTCCAGAGTAAAAGATAGATAGCTCATCCGATTCGGATGAAATATCCAAAATTTCATCGTCTTGGGATAAGCGTGGAGAAATAGGATACCCTGGATCAGAATTAGTCAATGGCGATGGCGGCTTCGCCATGAAACGCTGATAGCCATCATATGCACTTTCGATGCTTTCATTGGTCCTAGAATCATAGGCCCACCATCCCCCTAGATGTGGATGGTGCATGGTTTTGAGGCGTTTATGGGAAATGAGGGGCGGCCGTCACCAGAAACACAATCCTACTCACCATTTCTGCCCTCGTAGTACCACTGGTAGCCATCCTCGGTCGCGCGAGTGGTGCAAATGTCCTCAATACCATTTACCAGCTGAGGATGGTCCAGGAATTCGGCGGGAATCTCGCGTCTGCACATAGCACATCGACGGTTCTTGTAGGCAACCCCCTGGAAAAGAAATCTATTTAACAAATTTTCACTTTATACGAGAAGATAAGCTTTGACTTGGTAACGTTTATAGTTCTTGCGAAATTAATTTATTGTTATTAAAGTTTAAATTGAACGATAATTGATTTTCGTAAACAATTTAGTTTAAGGAAGTTGGGTTCAAGAAGGTAACCTGTAAATGCTGCCACAAATTGGCATTAATTCACGCCCAAAACAAGTTCCAGAACTGGAAAATGCACTCGAGTGCTAATCGGAATAGTTGTCTTAGGCTTAAACTGGTTGTAGTTGACAGGGGACGGAAGCTAATTGACAAGACGCCAGCCGGAAGGCAATCTAATGCCATAATTGCTAGTGTCCCGGGTTTTATCCGGCATGCTAATCAATCACACAAGCCCGCTTCACCAAAGGGTTAAGATCAGCCTTGAACTTGACTACGTGCTTGGGAGGTTTTGGTGCTGGCCGAAAATGATATTCAAAAACCCGACTTTGACGATGTGGATTGCATGGCTAAGTAACTGGGAAAAGCTTCCGCTTTTGGATTAATCAGCTACGCACCTTAACGCACAAGAAGCAAAAGATGTGGCCACAGGGAAGGCGAGCTGGATGGATGCAAGTTTGCAGGCAGATGGGACATTCTAAGGCAGCAGCCGCTGGTGAAGCTGGAAAACAAAAGTAAGATTTGGTGAGTAAAATGCTTAAGTTTGTAGTTACAGCTAAATGGTTAATCATATATATTTGATTAAACAAATACAAAATACATTTAATTTAAATTTTTTTACTTAAGGGAGAGTATTTGACCGTTACAGATTGCATTTCCAAATATTTGATTTTAAGTATGTTATTTAAGTATTTGTATTTCCGGTCAATTTAACGCAATTCAAATCTGTATAAAAACTACTTTCGGAAAAAGTTGAGCAAATTTCTTAAAAGTGAGATTATTATTTAATTCATTCTAACGGACATTAACTATTTACAACTATGGCAATTATCTTCTGTAGAGCGCTTTTGTGAATTACTTTTCTCACCTGCATCTCCAGGTGACGAAGCAGGTGAATTCGGATTTGATGCCGCTACAGCATCTCCTGATCCGGATCCAGCTCCTGATTCCTCTCCCGGATGGTCCGCAGTTCCATTATCGGAACGGGCAGCTGCCGCCGCCGCTGCCGCCGCGGAAGTGGAAGGCGACAGACAGAGATCGATGATTTCGGGAGGACCTACAATTGCAATAACGTCATCCTCGTCGTCGTCGTCCAGTGTAATCACATCGCTGTTGTTGTTGCTGCTGCTGGCCGGATTCTGCTCCGTGGCTCGTTGTTGCGACATGTTGGGGCTTGCTCGATCTCGTCAGCAGCTGTGGAAATCGATCTGTCGCCGCCGTCGTCAAGTTTTAAATTTTCACAAACAAAATGCGAAACAAAAAATTGTTGCTGCGTTAGTGTGACCGCTCGTGGCTGGTCAACGAATACCACTAGCCCTATAAAATATATCAACTTAATTTCAGTCAGTTCAACTGACGGTGTTGGATAGTGCTGAAAAAGCGCCAGAATTTGAAATTATTTCTTCTTTCAAAAATAATAATTGAGTTGTCGAAATTTAATTTATGAAAATTTCTGTAAAACAGATCTCTATGGTAAAGAAATCACATTGTAAAAAAATGTAGTATCATATAAATTAAAATTATAATTAAATTGCTTTAGTTTTGAAATATTTTAAAGTGTTACTTTATATAGAATAATAAACGAATAAAAAGTAAAAATAGGGTGGTTTTTTAGACAATCTTAAAACTGCAAATAATGGTTATAATATTATACATAAAATGTAGAAATCTGAATTTTAAACAGACGTAATACATTGATGGAATTCAAAGAAAAATTATCCGAATGATTTTTTAAATATTCGCCGCAGCTTTCATTAGCTGCTGGCGGACATTAATAATGCTTTATTAAATCCAACAAAAAACCAATTAAAATTACGCGCTTCATTACATGCAACACCTTTAGCAACGGCCGCCCACCTATGGAATTATGCCGCCTCCGACCAGAATTTAACTTCATAAAAATTGACAGGCGAAGGCCCAGAGTTTTTGGCCACCGAAGGCATCACGCACTTTTTAATATGCAGCCGGCATGCGACAGGCCAGGACCAGAAAAAAAGTGACACACAACAACAGTCAGTTGCAGTTGTCCTGGGCAGGACCTTCGTACTCATTACATGAAAATCAATTTTTGGTTTATTTTCGCTCTCGCCTCTCTGCCCAATTGCACGTCGTTTTTTGTCCATTACGCAGGCACACACTCGTACACACTCTAATTGCGCGACAGACAAACGCGCTGAAGTCAACTGCCAACGAGTTTTGTAAATTACTCTCGTTTTGCCCCGATCCGATCCTGCCGTGGCTGCAATGTCGTCCTGCCGGGCTGTTTAATGCACGTGTCCCCTTGGGCGTTTTAAAAATGTGTTGCCTGTCCTGGGATGCCACTGTTTCGACGTGATTTGGCTTGGGGAATGTGTATTTTGAAAGTCAAACAAAAAATAGCATTGGAGACCTCAACAATCCTGATTTTCGACTAAGAATTACCCGGCTTTCAACTCTTTCATTTTTTTAAATTAATATTTTAAAATATTTTATTCGCTTTATAAGCTAAGTTGCTTTGCTATATTAGTGGTTTAGAGTGAAATAATTAAAGAAATAAATGTTTAAACGAAGGCCTTAGAGGATAATAATATTTTAGTATTATTAAAAAATGAATTGATCTTTTATTTTAAAACTAGGCAAGTTATTGATAAATATCCAATAATATCACTTGAAACTAAGAAAGGTTAACCAAAATACATTATTTTTTCATTATAATTATACCCCTTTGTCATTTTATATATAAAACTGTTAAGCTGAAAAGGTTCTAGCCAAAAACTCTTACCAATATTTATTATTTGAGTAAATTTGTGCTTCTCTGTAGCAACATTAGTATTTTTATAAAGGGTTGAAAATTTAGACTTTCGGCTCAAGTAGTATGTATACAAACTGACAAATAATGTTAGAAAACATTTTAAAAAACTATTAAGTCTTCAGATATTGCTTATCTATTACCCATTTTCGAGTAAACTAACTTTCATCTAAACCTCTATTTGAAAATTTATTTATAAGGTGTTTTTTTCAAAGAAAAATCTTAAATTAAAGTAAATATCCATTTTTCTGTGAGAATCAAGAGTTCATGATCTTTTATTTATTTAAACTGAGATGAAGTTAGATCCAGTATACCCTTAATCCGCACTGTTACCAATCACTCCAAACGCACATACGAACTACTTAATATTCAGGTCGAGTCCTTCAACTCTCGACACTCAACCCTTTTCTCCTGTGAGCTCGATTCGGCACTCGGTTTTTTGTTATAATTGTTCTATGTCCTGGGCAATTGAATTTTTATTTGCCAGCAAACGATCAAGGAACAGAAGAAGTTTAAATTATGATTGCCCTTTCATTGTTTCACTGCCCTGTGGCTACAAAAAGAAGGTCATAAAAAGCCACCCACAGAAATAAACGCAAAGAAAACCTCAAATCTTAATGTAATTATCAGGAGAGTAAAAAAACAACCGTTTATAACGGTGGACGCCTCAAGATTATTAACACAAAAGAGGGTCGTCATAAGCATAAAAATATTGCCCTCCCTTCTCCTTTCACAGCTCGTCACCCTGTTTTTTACCACAAAAAATGAAATTTTTTCACCCTCTTTGTAATAAGCTACTTTTGCATCTCGCCTATTGCTCTTTATTTTATCATTTGCTGGCTTGTTACTTTCTCCCTTAAACATTTTATTATACGAATATATGTAGCTATTTTTTGGGCTTGCCAAATCCCCTTAATAAACGAAAATCGTCTCTTGACACATGTGAACGGAGGCTTGCAGGCACTGCAGCCTCAGCTCTAATAAATTTACGATCGTAAGCCACACGAATTTCCTATTAAAATGCTGATTTTTGCACAAAGTATTAGCAATATGAAGAGAGGGACTTGAGAGGGTGAGTGAGGTTTCCTGATTGACACGAATATCTATAAGTTAGAAAACGTGTTTTGCTGTATCTTAAAAATATTCGATTTTAAGAAAAACTGTTAAACTGTATACAATATTCTCATTCTCAACCCATCCTTCTTTTAAGTTATCAACTAGAATGTGCGGCTTATGAATGGTTTATTGTTATCAAATTATATACATTATTAATCCATTTTTCTAACATTTGTAAAACAGATACTTGAACTTTAACTAATTTAATTTAATTTAGTAATTAAGAGCCAGTTCATGTTGGAGTAAGCCAAAGAGGCAGACAGCAAATGATCCCCGAGCTCTCGGAATAAATATGTCAATTCCTAATCAGTGAACTACTTGCCAGAGTTACCTTCCGTCCAGCGCCTTGCCCACTTAGATGCCTTCTGACAGTCGGCTGCTGGTTTTTAATTAAAATATAAAAACGAAGGGAACGTGCCGCGGTCGTTAGGCAATAAACTTGGACACCGCGCATCCTGCCAAGGACAATTACCAGGCGGAAAATGTCGCAACATTTTCGCTCCTTATCGCTGCCTTTCGGTACTTTGGGCCAAGGAATGCCGAGCCGCGGCATAAAGGAAAACGAATTAAGGACATTGTAATGCTTATCTGAGAGAAAAGGTCCTTTGCGGAGAACACGGGCCATATCCCTTTACCCCGCACTCTAAAACATATTTTCCTTGCAACCCAAAAAAAGTGGAAAAATCTTGATTTTTAATTTTAACGCTTTATTTAATTATGTGCAGACGAAACAACTTGAAGTTTGCTAATAAAATGCTTAAGGAGTGTCCTTTCTGCTTTCAGCTTTCCCTCATTTTGCCTGCGCAATAAAACCCACAAAAAATGGGCTAAAAATGGATTTTTCCAGCTACTTTTACTCTCCTTTTTTTTAATAAAGACATCAACAGATGGGCGGCGATAAAAACGCAAAGATTATGGGGCAGACTACAAAGAAGAAGATCAGGGAAGGTCCCAGAGTCGTGTGGCTTTTGACACCGCAGAAAAAAAGAGGATGAAACAGGCAACAGTTTCAGTTTTTTTCGGCCATTCCATTCAGATTCAAAGCGGTCCTGGACAAAAGGCCAGACGCAGGAGATTTAGTTTTAAGCGTTAAGACTTGTCCCAAGGATAAGGGCCCTGCTGCGAGAGTTGCTTACTTTTTATGGCTTTAAAGATAAGCGTTTATTCCGTCTTCGCTTCACTTAATGCGCAAACTTTTAATTAGCTGGAAAGAAGCGTGGCTTCTTCGCACTTCTCCCCTGATTGCTTTTCAATTGGCCTTAAACAAATTGGACACCAAAGATACCCAATAAAAATCAAATACAAATCGAATGCCTGTTATGGCCCACCACCCCAGTTCTTGACTTGGTTTCCCTTGAGGGGGATGTTTAGCCTACTTACGGGCATCATTTCCCTTGTCACCTGTTGTCCCGCGAGCTGATTCAAATCTTTAAAATCAATATGCCAAGCATCAAGCCAGGCAGATGGAGCTCCTTGGTAAACACAACAAGGGAGTTGGGGACTGGTGGCGGTGGCGGTGACATCCCCTTGACAGGTGTGAGAACGGAAGGAATCCGAAGTTGACTCCTGGAAGTCTGCAAAAGACGCCTGCAGGCATCAGACAGGCAGGAAAATTGAAATGGTTTGGATTACATTTGACTTTTATAAGCGGATTTCGGCGTGGCATCATAGTTGGCAACTGGCAGATGGATATATAAAATATTCTAAGAATTACTTGAAGCTTTCTATAAATTAAAACAGATTTCTTTAAGAGATTTGAATGCTTGGAAAAATTATATTTTAAGTAAGAACGGTATAGTTCTTTGACCTAAAAACGAAATCCCTTTTATGACCTACATTTATGAGGTATTTGTCAAATGAAATAGATTTTATATAGATGAATTTTATACTAAAACCAAGTAAGTTCATATAAAACTCAGCTTCCTTTTAAAAAAATATTAAAATTGTAATTTATTTCAGACTTTCAAAACAACTTATTTTAAACTCCTTTAAATGCTATTCGAGCTATATATCAGCCCTGATCCGAAAATCTACATAGACAGAATGGTCTTCTTGATGATGTCGATGCTCTCACGCATTTGGGTCTCATTAATGACCAGAGGAGGAGCAAACCTAATGATATCGCCATGGGTGGGCTTGGCCAAAAGACCATTCTCCTTGAGCTTCAGGCACACCTGCCAAGCGTCGTATTCTGTTGGGAGAAAATTGTTAATGTTAGAAAAAGGTTAGTTTCGAATGTCCGGTATAACTTACTTTGATTAATAACGATGGCGTTGAGGAGACCCTTTCCGCGCACCACCGAAACCACATCCCTGGGAAGCTTAGACAGTTCACCGCGCAAGAGTTCACCCATTTTGAAGGCATTTTCCGCCAGTTTTTCCTCTTGCAGCACCTCCAAGGCAGCCATGGCTACGCGGCAGCCCAAAGGATTTCCTCCGTAGGTGGATCCATGTTCTCCTGGCTTGATGCACAGCATTACCTGGTCATTACAGAGCACCGCAGACACGGGATACAAGCCTCCGGAAAGGGCTTTGCCCAGAATCAGGATGTCTGGCTGAACCTGCTCGTAATTTACGGCCAACAGCTTTCCGGTCCTGGCCAATCCCGTCTGCACTTCATCGGCAATCCACAGGACATTGTACTTGGTGCAGAGCTCACGCACCTTCTTTAGATAACCATCACTGGGCACCACCACACCAGCCTCACCCTGAATGGGTTCCACCATGAAGGCGCACACATTGGGATCCTTGAGGGATTCCTCCAAGGCTGTCAGATTATCGTATTCAATCAGCTCGAATCCTGGCATAAAGGGTCCGAATCCCTCGTAGCTGCTGGGATCGTTGGAGGCGGACACGGCGGAAAGGGTACGTCCCCAGAAGTTGTTACGTGCGAAAATGATCTTGGCCTGGTTGGTCGGAATTTTCTTTTCCAGGTAACCCCACTTACGGGCCAACTTGCAGGCAGTTTCTCCACCCTCCACACCCGTGTTCATGGGCAGCACTTTGTCGAAGCCAAATAACTTGGTCACATACTCCTCGTACTCGCCAAGGACATCAGAGTAGAAGGCTCTAATTGGGAATTGAAGAGAAAAGAGTAAGACTTTAGAGGAAAAGTAAAACAAAATTACCCAAATATAATTTATTTTTTTACTTCAAATAAAACTATTTAAAAATAAACAAAAAACTATTTTGCTCATCTAAAAATAAACCAAAAATACTTTTTCTAACCAGTACATTGCCTTTTTGCCTTATCATTCCCAACCAAGTTCCAAATTTAGAAGTCGGCAAGAGCAATAACAAGTCATCGATCTTCGGATTTCTTATCAACCAAGCTCTTTTGACTTTATAGCCCCACTCAACCTGACAATCTGGCCCTGGCAACCCAAGGAAACCACATAAAACCGGCCATAAGGAGTCCCATTAGTTGGAACTGAAGTGCAGTTTAATAATTAAATTAATTTTCATCTGACAAATGCAGAATCAGAAACAGAGGAGTGGGAATTAAAATTATTTTTTATTACGGGCTGATAAGCCAGTCCCTGGGGGGTTATCACTGCACTTAGTATATATTTGGTAAAAAAAACAGTTTAAACATAAACAAATGCCACATGCTATTAATTGTAAGCTTTTTAATGATCTAGGAAAAAAAACCAAAGTATTTCGGGCTTTAGTTGTTTTCAAATGACTTTAATAATCCGGAAACTTTATTTATAAGCCATTTAATCTTGTCCAGACATATTAAAAAATAACAACCGCCGCATTCGGTTGTCTATCTGTAAGTTTTATTAGCATAAACCGAAAAAAGTTATGGGGTAATCAATTAATTAAGTTTTCACTTGACAACAGAAAGGAAATTGAGGCACGAAAACAAGTTTTGGGCACTTAATGCTATAGTAATAGGAGCATTAGCGTGGCCTATATATTCTTAATTGCCAAATATTGAAAACGTTAATTTTTGATACTGAATCCGTGAAATATAAAATGCACTTTTGTGGAATCAGGAAATTTGAAAATAAGATTCGGTTTAAAGCTTATAAGAATCAAATTGAGAACAAAAGAAATATAAATGATTTTTACTCTCTGATTTGAATTTTGTGTGGACCTTTAAAAACTATAAATTACGCATACGCCACGTTAGCCATACTTATTTGGATTGTGTTTACAAAACATTGCTTTTACTAACAGTGGCAACGGCGAATAATAAACAGCAAAAATCCGTTAACAAAGTCCACCCTAAATACTATATAATACTGATAAACCAGAGAGGTGATAAGTTCTCTAGGGGGCACGTCTTTGTGCTCTAATTGTGAAAATATATTATATTTTCCCAGAGTTATATTTACTTTCATCAACTTACCGCGATGTCAAGGCCAATTTGGAGGCCTGCTCTGTTAGGGCTTTGACGATCTTCGGATGGCAGTGACCCTGGTTGACTGCGGAGTAGGCACTCAAGTAGTCGAAGTAGCGTTTTCCCTCCACATCCCAGACGAAAACACCTTCACCCTTGGATAAGGCCACCGGGAGTGGATGGTAGTTGTGGGCGCCGTACTTGTTCTCCCGGGCGAAGACCGCCTCGGAGAGGGGTCCGGAAGATGAGGTGGTCTCTTGGGCAGCCGTCTTCTGCGCCAAGTAGCTCAGGCGGGTGGCAAAGCCGCGTGCTGACAGTTTGGAGAACATTTTACTAATGAATACGAATTTCTAAGATCGATAGATTGACTTGGCGGGGCTACTCGCGGATCACTGCCGATGCTCACTGAAAGTCGAAAGGCAGTGGGTGGCTGCCTTTTATACCCTAGGAGAGAGAGAGGGAACTAGGGAGAGAGTAAGGCCCCTCTGGAAGCTTGCTCTCTGCCTCTTCCTCGCTCTCCTTGTTCGCTCTCTCCAAGATCGCTCCTGCCTTATCTTATTACATGCTCCCTTACTTGTAATGCACTCGGAGTTCGTTTTCCATTTGATATTTGATAAATTTGAGTTGTTGTTTTTGATGGTATTTATGCTCTTGTCGGCAAATTGTAATCAGCTTAAAAATTTCCACTGCCAAAGTGATAGAGCTTGGGAAGCTTTATGTGCAGAAATATATTACACTTGAAAGCTTCGGCGGTCCAGAATTTGATAATTGGTTTGTTTGGTTATCACGAAAATAGATTTAGCATCATAAATGGTAAATGTACTACTACTGAAAGGAATAAACCAATGAAGATGACACATTTTAAAGTTTTTAATAAGTTTCTGAATAAATATAAAAGGATAATAAATATCTTTTCCCATTTATTCAAATTTGTGGATTATAATTAATGGAGAATTCTTTCTAAATACACTTTGAAAAATGTTAATTATTATAATAAAGTTAATAATTAAATTTTTTTTTGGTTTAACAAATAAATAAATTGATTTAACATCAATCAGCCAATTTAATGGCTATAATACATTGATAACAATAATGAACAAATAACATACGAGGTGTGTTCAAAAAGTAAGGTGACTCTTCAAATTTCGCGAATTTCAAATTTTTCGATTATCGAAACCTTTTAGAAGTTATACGAGTTGTGTTCAAAAAGTAAGGTGACTTTTCAAATTTCAAATTTTTCAAATTTTTCGATTATCTTCAGTTTTGGGAACAAGAAAAAGTCACATGGGGCCAAATCCGGTGAATATGGTGGCTGAGGCATTATTGTGGTGTTGTTTTTGGCCAAAAAATCCAAATCCTTTGATCCATATTTTTCGATAGCAAAAAATCGCCGAGCTCGCAAAACAACTTGTAACTTTACGCCTCTCACAACCAAACAAAAGAGGATGTTCCATTGAAACTTGGTACAGATGTTAGGGAAGAGTGTACCAATATAACAAAACAAAAAAATCGATAATCGAAAAATTTGAAATTCGCGAAATTTGAAGAGTCACCTTACTTTTTGAACACACCTCGTAAATACATAGCAGGAAGGGATAATTTAATTTAATTTTCAATTATTTCAATTTCAAAGTAATCAACAAAAAACATGAATATATAATATATAATTAGTATAATCTGAACCATAGCCTGAACATTTATATAATTTTAAAGAAACTTTCAAAGTAAAACCCTTTTGCACTTTATTTAATCTAATTACTTACCCATTAGATTCCAATTAATTCTGATTTTTAAAGCAATCCTGTCATTTCATAATATTTTCATGTATTTATTTGATTTTTCATAAATAAATTACTGGCTTAAGAATTTACAACTAGTTCTTGCTTAGAGATGATAATTTACTCTCATTTATCGTATATTGTTTGTTTCGTTATCGTTATCGTTATCGTAACCAATCAAACATTTAACAGTTATAGCACGTTCAGGGAAATTACGAATACATACATACTGATACATATATTAAACGACCGTTAAGAAGGCAACACAAAAATTGCACTAAAACATTGTTTTACAAAGAACGAATTCCATTTAAAATGAAAACAAATTAATTTTACATGTAGAATTTATACATTTTTTCGGTTTTCTTCTTTTTTTTTGGTGGGCGGTCTAGCCTACTTTGGGGATGCCCAATTAAATGTCAATTTGCTCGTCGCGCTTCATTAGCTACCTCAAATACAATATTGATATTAATTAATTTTAATAAATTCACGCTTTGATTGCAATTATCAACTCGACCCCCTGACCTCCCACGGCCCCATTCACTCCATAACCTGGGACACACTCTGCTGCGGCGACTGGGCAGGTGAAAGGCTGCGGGGCGTTGCCGTGGCGGCCACCGTTTCCCCATTCCCGGACCCCCTCTGCTGGCTCTGGGCCTGGCTGAGCAGCTCCTTGTTCAGCCGGTAGCTGCTCATGACGTTGGCACAGCTCTGGTGAAAGTAGAAGTTACGACCGCGCAGGAACGCATCCGTATTGAGATCCTTTATGCCTGTCTTGAAATACACAAGAAAAAAAGCAAAGCAAGTTATAGAATTTTCAATGCTTATTCTTTGGTAGAGTGTGCATTAACTAGTCGAGAGATTACTAGATGGGAAACAGAAAGTTAGGGGTTTTCGGGGGGTATATAGTTCGTGCTCGAAATAAGGTGAAAACTGAAGCAAACTGAGGAATTACCTTACAAATGAAACATTTGTTTTCATCGTCCGGTTTTAAATCCGAACTAATTCCCACCTTTGTGTCCAATTGCGTTAATCCCGGCACGCCCATCGACGACAACTGCGACAGGCTGTTCTCCATGCTCTCTGCGTATTTCGATGCCGGATTGTTGTTGTTGTTGTTGTTACTGCTGCTGTTGTTGTTGTTGTGCGATATGTCCATCGGTCCCGGTTCGGTGCTGCTCACCTGCGGCTCCGAACGAGGTCGCTCCTCTATGGGCGAAATGTTCTCAAGGGATCTGTGAGGGAAGGGAGATTGTTTACTTTGGGAGAACAGATTATACCTAACACTCTATCGCTAACTCTGATTATGTACTTGAAAAGGTTATAGAATCTAGCAATAACTGCTATTAATAGGGTATCTTAATGATACATATGAAAAGCAATCCAGTTTTTAAGTTTTAGTTGAAAACGTGAGTTTGAAGGATCCATATTTTGTCCAAACATTTTCGTAATCCTTTGATATGTACCTATGTACCTATGTACCTACCTTCTATGGGTATAACTAGCCCTAGCTTAATTCACGTGAAGTGTTTAATTCTTATTAACTGTTGACTCAGAGGTGATATTGGCTTTGTAGATTTAAGTAGCAGATTAACGTTTAATTTGGCCAACTTATTGCGTGTCTATACGTACAACTAACGTTAGCCTCCATGAGTCTTTTCGTGTTAGTTGTTTTAATTGTAACATTCTATATCATCTAATTTGTATTTCAAGCTCCATCTCTGTCTTAAAATATAGCATTTTAGCATACCTGCGAAGCAGTTAACCAATCTGTTCCCTTTCATTAACGTCCCTGACTTTAAATTTTGTTCAAATTACTCTGAGAATTATGTTTAGGAATAAAGGCAACCTTTTAACAGAACTTAAACTATTTATTGTGCAAAGTGATTTCAAATAATATATAATTTTCATATTCAAATGTTCTTATTCCGGACTTAGAATATATTAATCTCACCTGCTGCTGCCCACATTCTGCTCCTCCTGCCGCCGTTGGATTTTGCTATAATTGATTTTGCTCGACATCTTCACCGTGTCGTCGTCGTCCACAATGACATCCTCGTCGCTATCATTCTGGCACGAGGCCGTGTCCATCATTAGGTCCTTGTTGTTGCCCCCACTGTTGTTGTTGTTGCCACTGCTGCTGCTGTTGTTGTCGTTGACGCCCACGCCGCAGGAATCCGCGTTGTAGTAGTGGTGTGTGGTAGATGACAGCTCGCTGACGGTTTTCACTGAGGATTAAAGGGCGAGAGCAATTAGCATTAGTCAGGGAACACATGAAGGTATATATATCGATGATTTGAAATAATAAATTATATCTAGATATTATTAAAGCTTTCCTGTATATGTTTAGGCTTGGTTTTAATAATAAATTTATTAAAGTGGTTGTCTTTACTTTTTTGGAAATTCAGTTGTTAGTTTACAGATTAAAGAACAGTAAGGTTGAAATATCGCAAAGATCTTTTAAAAAGTGGTTAAGTATGTGGAATATATATAACCCACCACTGATATGTCCCTGGGGTGGTGCATTGACCTCGCCCGGCCAACTGCTGCTGCTGGCTGTTGTCACATTGGTGCTTACATCCTGCTCATCGGGATGGGGATCCTTCTGGTTGATCACACAGCCCGTCCGGTAGAGAATCCCATCCAGCTTGCCCGGCTGGGCATTGCTGTTGTGCATGCTGGAGGGCGGCAGAACGTTGGCGGATGATCCTGATCCTGGGGCTGTTATCTCTGACCCTGAGTCGGGTACATCGTCGTTGCAGCTCTCCACGTCCACGGTTTCAATCTCCTCCTGCGATTTGGCATCGTCCTGAAAATAAAGTTGGTATCACGGAGTTGAATTTGGGTTGATATCGATATTAAAGGTATACTTTTAGGTGAATTTTGCATGAATTTCCTGAACTTACCTCTGGTGGAATCTTCCCCGTCTCCAGGGCGTACTTCCTCTTACAGATGGGACAGCTGCTACAGTAAAGACTCTCCATCATGTACATCTCGCCGTACTTGCGCTTCCGAACTTTGAGTCTCAGGCGGTTCTGGCGATTGTTCCTTATCCTCTGGAAGGTCTAAGAGAGTAGGAAAACAGCGATCAGATCCACTCATAAGCTAAGTAAGTCGAAAGATAACCCACCTCCCAGCGATTGTGACTGGTACGAATGGCGTTCTCCTGGGCCGGACATGGAGGAGCGAACATATAGGTGGCCTGCAGATTGGCCCTCTCGAATCCCGCACTCAGTTTGTACAGCCTGTCCAGTTCGGTGAGGAAGTGGGAGTGCCACTCCTCGGCACTGAGCTTTAGTCCGCAAACGGGACACATTTCGGGAATGGCTCCTCCGGCAGCTGCCGCCTGCAAGCCACTGACCAGGCTCAAACCACCTGGAACAGCCCGGAGACCCGCCATGCTCAAACTGGCCAAGGCCGCGTGGTGGGCGGCATGGTGATGGGACAGCGGATGCGGATGGGCCATGTGGTGGTGCGTCGTCACCGCTGTGGAAACAGGAGGTGCTCCCACATGGTGACCATGATGATGGCTATGGGCGTGCGGATGGGCCAGCGGATGCGGATGAGAGTGGGCGTGCGTGTGGGGGTGGTGGTGCGGCGAAGAGGCGGCCAGGTG